ACGGGGGATCTTTGTCTTGGTGGTGGTGTCAGTGCTGCGTGCTCTCCTGCATTGTGTCCCTAGCGGTCGCGTTCAGTCAGAGCTTATGGGTTTATTTTGAGTCACCCGTGCACAGTGTGTACATAACACCCTGGCAGTGCTGCCCGATTCATCATCCAGAAACGACGTTTCATGCCATAATGTTGATTTATCAAGATTGGATACATTTGGCTGAAGTGCTCACACTTTTTACAATGCGGTTTGCTTACGTATATCTTTGCTGTTTGGTGGAAGTGATACAAGCCAAAGCAATTGCTCTGACTATTGTCAATACTATAAGCAAGCAAGGGCCTGTTGGCAGTGTTGTCTCAGCATTAATTTCACAGTCACTGCGTTCGCCATTCGCACTGACTCGTGACACAAGCGCCGGTGCGTGTGGTTGGTGCACTTCGTTACGAACTCGGTGAGCCGAGTTCAATTCGCGGCTATGGCCAACAAAAGTACCGGGCGACATCTGAGCCGGTCCCGTGACACCCACCTTCGGCCAACCCAACACTGACTCGCATGGTGAACTATGGTCAACCAATCCCCGTGACTGACTGCATGGGGAGACCTGAATCTAGCGGTGGATTGACAAAGGGCTGTACCTTAGAATTATTGTAATATAAATTATGACAAGACAAAATGTATAACAGAACATTTCAGACAATGGCTTTCTCCAAAACAACCCATTGCCGTTAACATTGGCTGATGATATCCGTTTATAATCCTCAGCCATTTTCAGTCCACTGCCGGGTGAAGGCCTCTCCACGCCGCTGTCATCCCACATGGCCCCACGATAGCACAAATGATCTAGCTGCCGCACATGGGAAGATCTCATCACTCGGTCTTCTCGGCGATCGTCCTCTCTGTTGGGTGTGCTCCCGAGGCTGTCATTCCGTCACCGGTCTCATCCATCGGCCACCATCCCATCTGGCGAGGCCTTCTGCTCGAGCCCGCTCACTTTCCTTGAGGGTCAATGCAGCAGTGTTTATGACGAATGTGACAACGTCTTTTCTTTTGTTAAGTCGTAAACCTGTCATTGATTGACATTAAACTGCATTTGAATCGAGCAACGTCTCGGACACGAGCTCGTGGAAGGCACTTGTAGCGTCACGAGAAAGCGTGCGCCGTGGCAGGCTTGGCAGCAAGCCCTCTCTTGGTACCGTGAGCAGCATGACAGCACGCCGTCCCAGCTATTTTGAGGCCGGTGTGTGTTGTGTGGTGGTGTGGTTGTCCGGTAGTGGAACGTGACGCATCTCTTCTACCCGAGGCCGTGCTTCGGCGGTGAATCCTTGGCGGTGCCAGCGTCCGTCGCCGCTTGTTGATTTGGTGCCGTCGGAGCAGCTGGGCCACCTGTCGCCACCGACGTGCTCGGTCACAAGCCGCGGCCCACGTGGACGCGTGACAGGCGGCTTCACTTTCCATTGGGCTCTCCGCGAGCGCGTGTGCTTTTTATTTAGACAACGGGCCATTGGGGTGTGGGGTGGGGCATTGTGGTGGAGGTTTGGAGGGGGCACGCAATCATTGTTTGCGGTCTTCTTTTTTGTGACGAAGAGTTGACCAGCAACGTGTATATTATCACGTGGAGATTGGGGAGTGAGCCAGTGGATGGCTTCAGGAGAGGAGCAGCCTCCTGGTGAATATCTGTAACTCTGCCGGCGAATTATGGAATTTGGCAGCGGAGCTGCTGTGTGCTTCATGGTTTGAGGTCGGTGACCACAGTGGCACCGTGGGCTATTCTTAATTTTCCTTCAGTATAGGAGATGGCCGCATCTGTTGGCAATGTTCTGATGCTGGGTAAGTTGAGACCGGGATATTCTGCCGTTGGGCCGGCGATTTGGTGCTCGTTAGGGACGTTCGGCATTGCCCCAGGTTTCTCTCCAGCGACATGCAGTCACGACCTTCCCGTCGTTACTTGAATCTTCATGCCCCCACTGGAGGGGCGGCGTCGGTTCGCGGTCGTTGTGGCGCCTGTCTTTGGCAAACACGCGGCAGGTGTCGTGCACCCTTGGGAGGCCAGAGGACTGCAAGGTGATGAGCGTTGGGGCCACCGAACGGTTGTGTGTGTCCTGCTGGGGTCTCGGGGTTGGGCAGAGAGTGACCACCTCTGGCTGGCCCCTCTCTCGCCGTGCCGGCGAGTCAAGTGACCGTGCCCGTGCGTTCGGTGTTGTTTAAAGGGTGGGTACAGTCTGTTCTCCTATTACGCATAGTTTTCATAACGCGAATTGGATATAACGCGATCAATGTATTAGGGAACACACTTTTCATAACGCGGACGCGAATTGGTTATAACGCGATTGAGTGAACGGAACTGCGTCGCGTGAGTAGGGATAAGCGGTCGTACGGCTGCCTCGGCGTAGCATCATGACACACGGCAGTGGGATGCTGCTGGATGCTTCCTGATGCTCCCCACGCGCCTCAGTCTTTGTTCGTCCTGCGTACGCATTTTACGTGTCATTGCGGACTGTGCTTTACCCTATATTATACATTATTTATTATCATGCAACTACCGCATTATAGGAGAACAGACTTGATCTTGGCCTGGCTGTCTGTTCTGGATCAGTGGTGGTTATTTGGTTCGTAAAGATGTTGTGTCGTCGCACGATTAAAATTAATTCTTAAGCTTGCGATAGGTGCATTGAATTGCACATTTTGCACATTTCGCAATCAGGCATTTGCAGGTTGTGCAAATTACTGATGCTAATGCTGGGGTGGAGAAGTGGCGTGGTGGTTCACACACACGACTATGAACTCAGTGACCAGAGTTCATTTCCTGGTCACGGCTAACATTAGTAGCGAGTGATATCTGAACTGGGTCTACCACACTAGCTGCCGTTTCGAAGTACGGTCAAAAAACATGTATGGGGAGGCCTTCATTCAGCAGTGGATTGAACAAATGCCTGTTAAATGCTCAGCCACCCACACACTCAACCACTCTCACACTCAGCCGCTCACACACATACAAAGTCACTAGCATACACAAAGACTAAGATCCCCCAGTATAGCCTTAACAGACTGTTGGGGCAAGTGCTGTAAGCGAGCACCTTTGAAGGCTGGCACGGCACACGAGGGGTGGGTGGCCAACACCACGCCCGGCCGCCTTTGTCTCCCTAGTGGCAATGTTTACACTGCACCAGCTACTCATTTGAGGCTGAATCGACCTAGGGGAGGACCAGGACCCGTTCAGATAATCGTCACTGGTTTTGGCCGTGAGCGGGAATCGAACTCGAGTCACCGGGTTAGTGGCGCAGCGTAGCGCTAACCGCTACACTACTGCCCCCCACTAGCATAGACTCAGCCACACACAGTCATATCCAGCAGTTATTGTTTATGACGGCCTCTAGTTCATGTCCTTAGGGTAAAACACCTCGGCCGCAAAGGTGAAAGAATTACTCAGCAGTTGAGATTCTTTTATGAATCGAAATGCACACGCGTTGAATGAGCGGTTTACCTTGGCTCTCTTGTGTGTGTTTGTAAGACCACTGCTGGTCGTGGGGAGCGGTCGCGTAGCGATTAGCGCGCTGTGCTTCGCACCCTGAGATCTGAGTTGTATTCCCACTCACGGCTAACACCAAGTGATAATGATCGAACTGGGCCTTGGCCTCCTCTAGATCTGCTCAGCTGGAAATGTGTACCTGGTGCAGTATGTAAACATCGCTACGAGGGAGACAAAGGTGGCCGGGCGTGGTGCTGGCCACCCACCCCCTCATGCACCGTGTCCACCTTCATACATGCTGCTCGCTGACAGCGCTTGCTGCAACAGTCTGTTAATAGTCTCTCTAGGGGATCTTTGTCTTTGGTCGACAGTACGATCGCCCTTTCTCCCGCATCATTAGCGGGTGATGTCTTCTAGGGGATTAATTGAGCGAGCGGAGAAATCGGCAGAGCCAAACGGATTGGAGAGCATCGTGGCGTCGTGAGGAGTCGATGGACAGGAGCACTGCGGAGGTCATGGTTTGTTTGACTCTTATCTGGAGTTCAGATCGAGTAGAAGAGTTCATCGGTCGGTGTGAGGTCTAGATTTGGAGATTTGGAGATCGACAGTCAATTTGTGCCACCACGTCCTATTGGTACGAACTGTCCTGATGTTCGCCATGCTAATATGGGTCCACGCCTCGATGTCATCAGTAGAGCGCACACCAGCAAAATGCTAAGAGCTTCAGATTGCCAACTCATATTAACTAAGGTATACTGTGAAACAAAAACGTGCCATTTAATCTAAATAAAGTAGCAGGTCGCCTGACCAGATGGCTCCACGGTAGAGCGAGCGGCTGGCTCACAGTCGAAATGTTTTTGGGTTCTAATGCTGGTTGGTACATTTCGCTCAATATTCTCCATGGCAAAAGCCTTGAGATGGAATATCTCGTTAGTAAAGGGGTCCAGGTTGACTCAGCCCATCGTGCCTCGAGGGTCGACGATACAATTATATTATCACCACCTTGTGGGGAAGGCAACAGTGCTCGTCATATGAATAGACTTACCCTCACCATAGGAATGTGGAAATTCAACAACTGGCTCGGGTCTGTAAACAGGAAATGAACACTGGCTCAATGCTCATTTGAGCAGGAAGTCACTTTGACTTGACTGAGCGAAATGTAAAATCAAAAGTACGATTGTCAACATTGTAATTTTGAAGTAGACTTTGAGCAGTGATCTTGAGGATCTGCTTTTCAGATTAAAAAAAATCCGTTTCTCTCGTCAACTCCAAAACACTGCGCACCTCGCATCCACGCAGTGGGTTGTGGGTTTGCGATGGTTGGGTGAGAAAGTAAGTAGGCGAACGAGCGGATGAGATGCCGAGTGGATGAGTGGGCGACCGGTCCGGTGAGGTGGGGCGGTAGTGAGAATAAGTAGGTGAGTGAATGGGTGAGTGTATGGGCTGAGTGGCGGGAGGGGTGGGATGACCAGGAGACCCAGGGGTTGGGCCGCCACCTCATTGGGTGCTGGCTGGGGTGGGTGGGAACTGGCTGGGTGGTTGGGTGGGGGGTAGGGTAAGAGCGTGGGCTGGGATCCCCCACTCTCCGAGCGACGACGAACTGTGTGTAGAGTGTGCCGGGGTGGCGGCCGGCTGAGAAGTTCCCTGCGTGAAGTGTGCGCGCCGCAAGGTACGTCGTAAACGTTGTCGTAACCGGAGAGAGAGCGCTTTTGTTCATCGGGGGCCCTCTCGCGGGGGATCGGCGGCGGAGTTTGTAAACCCGAAAGACGAGCCTTGGCGGACCTGTTCAACTTGGACAAAAAGGTCACTTTGGGCCGTGTTGAGAGAGAATTTGTCATCGGGTTCAAAGTTGAGTGGAGAATGTTATCTGGGGTCTTAGTCTACGTGTAATGAGATGTGTGGTTGTACCCTATAAACTGTGCCGTTGCCCATCATAAACTAGGGTAGTGAACCATTCCGTGGGGGAAACGGCAATTGATTAGTTGCGCTTTGTGCGACCGAGTTGGGCGATTTGTCACGGCTGACCAAAGCTGCTGATTTGGCTGAGAAAGCTGCGCTGCCTCGGCACGCGATTGTCACGGCGTGGCACGGAGCGCCGAGACTTTGCTGAACAAGAGGAGAGAAATTTTGGCCGGTGCCTGCCATCGTTGAGAGGAGGAAGTGGCCTCGTAGGGCACTGCGAGGCGGAATGTGGACGTGCGTGTCGGAGCTTGCGCCGCGGATCCCACCCTGGGCCGGCAGCTCGAAGGCACGGGCGGCCCCGGCTCCCTGCTCGCGCACGCAGCCGGTGCCACGGCCAATGATACGGTCGCCACGGCCGCCCTGCGGTTTTGGGTGTGCTGCCTTGGGACAGGAGCGTACGCCAGCCAACGTTAATTCTCCGCTCGCGTTGCATCGCAGCGCAGCGTGTTTAGTTTGTCAGACTTAAATAACCTGCTCGGCACGGTTCGGTTTAAGGATTGGCTTCCCCGGGGGAGTGCCGCACGTTGTGCGGTTGTTTTTGAAAACTTTCCTACGAGGCGGAAGGTCACGGGGCTCGCGCAGTGCGTTGGCACTTTAAAGGTCGGCGTTGGTTGTTGTTGTTGTTGCCGCCGCCACCGCCGTCGTCATTGTGGTTGTTGTTGTTTGTAGATGCGTGCCGGCGAGCGACGCTCGGAGCCGGGCAGATTTGTGAGTAGGCGCGGCGAGGCATAGGGAGCCAAACGCATCCCGTCTCGCGGCAATGCCGCTCTCCTGGCTGCTGGACGGATGCCCGCCGCTCAGCGCGCTGTTGAGCCGTCTGGCGGGGGGCAAGAGGGGGGCGCCCGCCGCCGTTCCAGTCACGCTTGACTTTGAATCCCCTTCGCCCCCGGGGCCTCCCAACGAGCGGCTCCCGACGGACAAGGAGCCTCCGCGCACGCCCCCGCCGCTGGCCTCCGCCGAGCCGTGTGCCGCGGGAGCCGGTCCCGTGGAGCCGGAACCGAGCGTGGCGACGGGCGCGGTGACAAGCGCGGTCCCGCATACAGACAGGGACTCAAACTCCGACTCGGACCGAAAATCCGTCTCGGACCTAGAACCCGGCTCGGGCCCTGAAACCAACACCCGCCCAGATGCCGACCCGGACCCAGATCCCGCAGCGGCCCCGGAGCCGAGTGCCGCCCCCGAGTTGCACAAGACTGGGCCCGTTACATGGTCGGCCCCGGCACGCGCGGTGACTCACCGGCCCGAGACGAAACCGCCGGAATGCAGCCGATCGGAGCCAGCCGACGACTTCTGGTTGGACCCTCCTGAGATGTTGTTTGCGTCAATGCGGCACCTGGAGCCTGACGAGGAGCCCGACGAGGTGAACCTTGAAGACTGGGGGTGTCTGTCACGCCGCTTCGACGCCCACGACGCTGGGGAGAAGCTCTGGGAACGACGGAACGAGGACTTGAGCACTGCTGCGATGGTGCCCGCTCTGTCCAGCGCCGCGTCTCTGTCACCGTCTCTGTCTCCATCACCGGGGTTGGAACCGACGCTGGAACCGACACTGGAACCGGCGCTGGAATCGACGCTGGAACATGCTATGGAACTATCCCTGGAATCGGCAATGGAGCTATCTCTATGCCACGTGGACGGAGCGGCACCGGCAGCGGCTGAAGCGATTGATTGGGACTTCCAGTGGGAGCCGTGCGATGGGTACGGAGGGGCCAGGTCAGTATAACGGCACGAGGCCGCTAGGCCAGGCGCTAGCGGCTGGGATGACGGCTGCCCACCCCCCAATTACTGCACCCGCTTTGCAGTGTGTTGAGATTTTGGTAACTTGGTGGCAGTGTGCAGTGGCTTGTGCGTGTGTGTGCACGTGCGATTGGCTTTTGTTATCATCGTCATCGCGTTCTAAAATACAATTTAGTTGTATGAGAGGGAGGAGTGGTAGCGCAGTGTTTGGCGCACAGCGGCATTCACCCAGCAACCTGAGTTTGATTTGCAGCCACTATACTTCACCACACGATCCAGTATGGTGAAGTATGATCAAAACAACTTTCCTGGTCAATACGACATGGGGAAGCCTTAATCCAGTAGTGGATTGAGAACGGGCCGTAAAATGCTGTAAATCATTTACTTGTATCATAATCGTCAACCTACAGCGATATCATCTTCACCCATGTGTATCATCATAAGGAGCAGGGATTGTCATCACCATAATTATTAGCGACACCTTCAGGAATTGTACCAACGCAATCCTAACCGCCATCGTAATTATCAACAGTAATTACTAAATCATGACCCAGACATCCTCCGGTTAGGCTTGCGTGTGGTGCGCCCGGTGAACTCCGCACACATTCGGAGACTTTCTCTCGCGTCGACCGCAGTGCTGTGTGCTCGGTAGGCCGCCGGGTCGTGCGAATGTAACGCTCCCGTCCCAGATTCCACCGTGCCAGGGTCGGCACCACCCGTAGGTGGAGTCCCCGGAGCATACGGGTGGTGGCAGCGCCGAGTCATTCCCTCGGGGAAACGTCAGAGCGAGCGTGGCAAGTGGGCGGCTGAAAGGACGGGCCCACTGGCTTCCGCCGCTCGGTCCGTCGGGTTAGCGTTCGGGTGCCGTCTCGGGTTACGCCGACGCCGGCCATCGGCTGACAACGGGAACGGCCGCGGCATGGTGCGACAAAGCCGCTTCTTCGCGTGGTACCACACGTGCCGCTGGTGAGCGCCGGGGGTCGCCGGTACCCGTGGAAGCTGACCCGGCGCTGCCGGTAGCTAGAACCTGTTGAGTAGCTGAACCATTGGAGCACGGACGAGTTGGTGGTTCTTGGTGCTGCTGATGGCACTGCTTCTAATGCTGATGATGCTGCTCTTGCTACTGTTGGTACTGCTGCCAATGCTGCCGCCGATGGCGCTACTGCTGATAGTGTTGCCGTCGCTGTCACTGCTGCTGTGACTACTTTGGATGCTGTTGTTACTGATGGCAATGCTATTCCTGCTACTGTTGTTGAGCGGAGTTACTGCTGGCGGTAGTACTACTGCCGCCGTTACTGCAGACGCTGCTACCACTGCCGATGTTGGGCGGAGTTGCCGAGTGGCTGGTGCGGCGTGGGGAGCGGTTGCACGGAGCGGTTGCATGGAGCGGTTGCACGGAGCGGTTGTCCTGATTGTACTCGGGCGTTTTCCAGGGCCCTGCCCTGCTCCTTGGTTCTGCAGACGGCAGACTTCCAGGAATAGAGTGCGGCTGTAACCCAAGCTTGGGTTTCCAACCGAGATGTTTCTGAGCAATCGGCTCCGACACCGTCTGCCTGCCAGCTGATCTTCACGATCACGCGTTGCGATTCAAACGTTTTATACGTCTCATTGTTCACCTTCCAGTGTTTGTGTTGTTTTTATCGTTTGGTCTCATTCGTACGGTTTCGTCCGATCTCCTCGCCTGCATGTAATGTCAGTCTTGGTTTACGTAGATAATCGAGTCTCATGCGCTTAGTGTACGAGATCGGACGTGAGTTCGGGCACATTGAGCGTGATCTTGCCCTATATACAACTCTTACACGTGATTTGCATTTAATTTCAATAAATACGTCCTGAGCAGGTTATTCGCACAATTCAGTTTATTTAACCCGAGCAAAGGAATCGATTTTAACAGATGGATGGACGTGTCGTTGCATGCCTGGTCCTTAGTGTAACCCCTTAAGATGGGGGGTGGGGAGGCAAGACGCGGGGATAATTGTTGTCGTTGAATTTATTACTTTTTTCTTTACCCAGTGCTGCTCGGTTCGGGGGAAAATGCATCCTAAAAAACGACTCCGCACCTCCGATTAGCACAGTTGGCTACGTAAGGTGCGAAAGAAGTTCAACATGCGTACATCACTGTGTGTCCCAGGTCAGCTGACACAAGCTTCAAGGCCTACAGAGAGACCCGTAGGTAGCCATGCTTTCGGCAAAAGCGTTTCGCCTTTTTCGGTGCTCAGCCCTCACAGATTTGGAAAGCTGTGCCTGAAGAGCTGCGCCTGACCGCTGAGATTCTCCCGTTTCGAAAGGACTTATTTCCTATGATACGTGGGATTTCATACGGCGCTCTGAATCCCATTGTCGGGTGTGCGCGGGGTCGGTTGCCGGCGATGGAGGTGTGGGGCTGTGATGACTCCAGAGTCCAGGAGTCTGGGTTTGTGCCGGGTAGTTTGAACAGCCCTGTGCCCTGGCCATCGTGGAGAGCGCTAAAAATAGACGCAGTGACCCCATTTCAAACAGAAAAATGTGACATGAATGGCCTCCTGGTTTGCATTGCAAGATAACAACGTGGCCGCCCTTGTGCTCGTGCCGCACGCAGCGTTGCGGCGGCCACCAAGCTCACCAGCAGGAAGAGCAGGGCGGCTGCGCGTGCGCACCAGCTTCGTCTGTGCTAACACTTGGGCAGCAGGGTGGCGGTGGCAGCGGTAACGCTCGTGCCTCGGCAATAAAGGGGCCTGGGTTCGAGTCACGACTGGAGCTCGTTTCTGTGTGGAGTTTGTGTTCTCCGCCCCTTCTGCATGGGTTCCCCCCCCTCCCCGAATTTGATCTTGGCAAATAATACCAATGTAGAAAAATGACACCGCAAATTACTCCATCGGGATTACAAACGGCAACATCGCCCTCCGCTGAGAATGACTTGGCAGGAACCTCCTGAAAAAGAAATAAGAGTCGTGAGACTGGTGATGATTTTCTGGATACACGAGCTTCAGCATCATCATCGCGGCCCGTAGGTGTCCACTGCACATTTAGCTTAATGATAATAATAATAACAACAAGATTAATCACAGTACAGTGTAGTAGTCGTTGCCTCCTGCTACATTGTGGTGCCTGAGGCGCGCATATCGGGCAGCCCTCACCGTAACACCATGACGACAAACTTGGCACGGCTCAACGCCACGTCGTTTTCTTGTTGTGCTTCTGCTGCCCGTGATAAAAATGCAGAGATCTCAGCTGTTTGGAGCTGGTGGCTGTCGTCGCAAGCGCGTGTCTAGAGTGCCGGCGTTATCCTGACTCGTGAACTATGCTGCGATTCCTGTTCCGTCGTTGTTGCTGTCGAAGACAAGTTTCATGGCGCTCCTGTCATTTGTTTTCGGCCAGCGTGAACGTTTCTTCGGGCCCACAAACTTCCTCTTTGTAGTTGCATCTCTCGTAGCGAGTGATGTCTAAACAGATTCTAACCTCCATTCCCACTGACCAGCGTGGTGAAGTATGGTAAGCCACATCTATGACTGACACAATGAGTAGGGGGCCTTCATCCATCCAGCAGTGGATTGACATAGGACTGTGAATGAAATTACTTTCCTGCGTAAATAATAACCATTATTACCATGACCCCATGGCCAGTTTGCCTATAATGTACCCGATCTCGACAGCCTGCAAAGTGCTCGGTCCTCACCCAGCAGTGGATTGTCAAGAGAGCTGCAGCGTGTGTACACACATTCTTTTTATTATTATTATCGTCGCTAACATAACTTTATGCTCAAGCCAGACAGGCCAGGACACAGCCTGGGTCAACCACCACAAGATAAGAGCTGTTTGCTTTTTTGGTTTGCGTCATCCTTTCAGTCGTAAAACAAAAAATAAAACCCTCCGCCGGGCAGATTTTGAACCAGTTCTAGAGATGGGAACGCTCGCTGCCAGGCAGACCTGCCTCATCGCCATCATTATCATGATTAATCAGGCGAGAACCTGATTGATGATTGACACAGGCCGGGAACCGGATTGTAACCACTCCTGCCGGTTTAGTTTGGCTCCGGGTGAGACGGCAACAGGCTCGGTGCACGGTGGGCGGCAGTTGTCGCGCAGAGTCTGGCGAGACGGCTCGCGCCCCACGTGCCCTTGACCTCCCGGCTTGACCCCGCCGACCCTGACATTTACTGCTGTCCGTGCACGGACTGAACTGTCACTCACAGTCGGCCCGAGCACAAAATTTATTGTTCAAATGCAACCTGGTTATCACAAATGATAGCTCAACAAAGTGGCTTATCACGTGGACATTTATAGTAACCACATACTCTAAACGTGTGATGTTTCTACTTGTGGAGGGAAAAACCGGAGTAATACTGAGAGAAGAGAGCTGTGTGTATCCCTGCTATCGCATGGCTGTTGGCGGTAGGGCTGTCTGCCTCTCCGATGTGTATTCGGCACAATGTCCGACGTTTCGCTGCACCTTCTGTGAGCTTCAGCAACCGAAAAGATATCAGAGAGCTGTTGTAGGCCTGCCCAGCGATTAAATTAACTCTTAGAAATGAATTAAATGAATCGATGTAGGTTTTTTTTGGGTAAAATGTCAACTGGTGGAGAATATCTGAACTGGCTTCTAGGACTCCCCTAGACTGACTCGGCCTTAAATGAGTACCTGATGCAGTGTGTAAACAAAAGTACTGGGGGACATGAAGGCAGCCGTTAGTTTGGCTGGCCACACCACCCCATCCTAGGAGCTCGCTCGTAGCACTTGCCCCAACACTCTGTGTCGGCTACACGGGGGGGGGGTTCTTTGTCTTTGTGTGTGCAGGGTGGATGCACGGGGGGGCGAGAGCCCGGAGCCAGGCGAGGAGGGCGATGAGGGCCACTCGGAGCCCGAGGGGCTGGTGGGCTCTGACGACGAGGAGCAGGAGGACCCTGCAGACTACACGAAGGGTGCGTGCGCGTGTGCGTGCGCTGTGCCAGCGCTCGGCTTAAGCGCAGCATCTGCTGCACCTGACAGGACGTGGTCAGAGGGAGGGACGTGTGTGTTGTGTGTCGTGCGTGTGGTGTGTATGTGTATGGTGTTGTGGTGCGTACGGGCTTTTCTAGCAGGGCATTGTACGTATGTTGAACTTCTTTCGCACCGTACGGAGCCAACCGTGGGAATAGGAGGTGTTGTGGTACAGGCGGTGTTGTGGTACAGGCGGTGTTGTGGTACAGGCGGTGTTGTGGTACAGGCAAGGGAGAGCTGTGTGCTGTGTGTGGAGCTTACCGACAGGATGGTGCGGTACAGGTAAGGGGAAGATTTGTGTACCGTGTGTGCGCTACAGGGGGCTACCACCCTGTGAAGATTGGGGATCTGTTCAACGGACGCTACCATGTCGTGCGCAAGCTGGGGTGGGGCCACTTCTCCACCGTGTGGCTCTGCTGGGACATGCAGTGAGTCTTGCTGAGCACACCCGCCGCCCCCCTCCTCTTACACACGCCCATGGTCTTACCCACAACTTGCATTGGAGGCCAGGTCTGGTGCTTGGTGGGCCCTTGGGTGAGCCCTGCACCACCAAATGTCCATTTTGCCCACCCAAGTTGCCTTCCTTAGTGGTACATCATCGTTACGGTGGCCCCCCACACCCCAGATCTACTGCTACCCCCCCCCGCTCCCCCCAGTCCAAGAGGCTCTGGATCCGGACCTGCTGTCGTCTCTCATTGCCGACTGTATTGTGGACTTGTCCATAGGGTGGCCTGCCCTAGATAAACAAAAGGCCATTGATGAAATAGAATAGGCTTAACTCTTTCCAGCAATCATACAGGAGGTGTTAAGATCTCCATGCACCAAATAGATACATGTTGCCCGAAAGAGTAGAGGCTATTCTTTTCGTCATCTTGAGACGAGAAAAAAGGGTCCGATAAAAGTCCATTGTTAGTCTAAAAACGACACTGATTTGCATGATCACCTTTACCCCTTGGCTTTACTGCTGTTCTGCAGACTGCACCCTGAATGGTCTCGCCGCTGGCCGCGTTGCTGATGTTGTTTACGTTTGGCGTGACGGCGCATCGGCCTCGGCGCCAGCGGCCGGCGTTCAGGCGTCTCGCTGCCGCTCCTTGCGGGGGCGAATCTGACCGAGTGGTCCCCCCCCCACCCTCCCCCGGGCAGGGTGAAGTGGTTTGTGGCGCTCAAGGTGGTGAAGAGCGCGCCGCACTACACGGAGACAGCGCTCGACGAGATCAAGCTGCTGAAATGCGTGAGTGAAACACGGCTATGGGGCACGGGGCACGGCACCGCCGGGATGATGCCACCACCAGCACACTGCATCACCACACTGCACCGCTACCACCACACTGCTGATACGACCACACTGCATCACCACACTGCACCACTACCACCACACTGCTGATACGACCACACTGCACCACCACTACACTGCACCGCTACCGCCACAAGGTACCACCGCTCCTATACCACACCATCACCTCATGATGCAGTCACCACCACCAACAGCACCAGTCGAGTATGAGACGAGGACCTCGTAGCTCCGCTGCTACCACCAGTGCACGGCGCCACCGTCGGCACGTTTGCGCGCCTCGCAGCGTCTGTGCGTGCGCCGTTTGCTTGCAGGTGCGGGACGGCGACCCCAAGGACCCGAACCGGGAGAAGGTCGTGCAGCTGGTGGACGACTTCAAGGTGTCCGGGGTCAACGGCCTCCGTATCCTCCTCCACCTCCCACCGCCCCCCGCACATCGCCCCTATGGTTGATTTGGACCGGACCTAGGCCTCCCCTTTATTGTAAACATTAGCACCGGGGAGACAAAGGTGGCCGGACGTGGCGTTGGCCACACCACCTCGTCGTGTGCCGTGCCAGCCTTCGATGGTGCGCTTGCCCCTACGGTCTGAAGGCTACGGGGGGATCTTTGTCTTTGCGCACACGTGCACCGAGCGTGCGCTGCACACGTGCACCGAGCGTGCGCTGCACACGTGCACCGAGCGTGCGCTGCACACGTGCACCGAGCGTGCGCTGCACACGTGCACCGAGCGTGCGCTGCACACGTGCACCGAGCGTGCGCTGCACACGTGCACCGAGCGTGCGCTGCACACGTGCACCGAGCGTGCGCTGCACACGTGCACCGAGCGTGCGCTGCACACGTGCACCGAGCGTGCGCTGCACACGTGCACCGAGCGTGCGCTGCACACGTGCACCGAGCGTGCGCTGCACACGTGCACCGAGCGTGCGCTGCACACGTGCACCGAGCGTGCGCTGCACACGTGCACCGAGCGTGCGCTGCACACGTGCACCGAGCGTGCGCTGCACACGTGCACCGAGCGTGCGCTGCACACGTGCACCGAGCGTGCGCTGCACACGTGCACCGAGCGTGCGCTGCACACGTGCACCGAGCGTGCGCTGCACACGTGCACCGAGCGTGCGCTGCACACGTGCACCGAGCGTGCGCTGCACACGTGCACCGAGCGTGCGCTGCACACGTGCACCGAGCGTGCGCTGCACACGTGCACCGAGCGTGCGCTGCACACGTGCACCGAGCGTGCGCTGCACACGTGCACCGAGCGTGCGCTGCACACGTGCACCGAGCGTGCGCTGCACACGTGCACCGAGCGTGCGCTGCACACGTGCACCGAGCGTGCGCTGCACACGTGCACCGAGCGTGCGCTGCACACGTGCACCGAGCGTGCGCTGCACACGTGCACCGAGCGTGCGCTGCACACGTGCACCGAGCGTGCGCTGCACACGTGCACCGAGCGTGCGCTGCACACGTGCACCGAGCGTGCGCTGCACACGCGCGCTGGCCCTGCGGGTTTCCCTTGACCGTGCGTGGCCGCTCCCAGACGTGTGCATGGTGTTTGAGGTGCTGGGCCACCAGCTGCTCAAGTGGATCATCAAGTCCAACTACAAGGGGCTGCCCCTGCCCTGCGTCAAGAGCATCATCCAGCAGGTGACGTCCACCGAACGTCAACCCTCACGTTGGCTCCTTGCAGCAACAATCAGGAATTGTGTTCGACAGAGCCGTCCTCCCGTGACACGCCGGGTCACCTCGGAGCGCATTGCATCTCGCATCTCATATCAACACGATCCACAGGACCCCCAGTGGCAGCTGTCCCTGTGTGGCACAAGTTGACTCTGACTCTGCACCTGGGCTGGGAAAGGGCATTAGTTTGCCAGTCGAGGACAATGATGATTGCTGCTGCGTGCAATCCCGATTGAGTAATCGTGAGCAAAGAAAGCGGGAAAAAAGCGGAAAAAGTGCAAAAAAATCCGCCTTGGGATTGTGCCGCATTATGGGTTAAGAGAGCGTTCAGGTTAGAGACGTCATTATGGGTGCGAAAGCGTGCGGGTTAGAGACGTCATCATATCGACTGTTGGCGGCTACCATGTGCGTAGGTGCTTCAAGGTCTGGACTACCTGCACACCAAGTGCAAGATCATCCACACAGACATCAAGCCCGAGAACATCCTGCTGTGCGTGGACGACGCCTACGTGCGGCGTCTGGCGGCCGAGGCCACGCAGTGGCAGCAGCAGGGGGGGCCGCCCCCTTCCGGCTCCGCCGTGTCGACCGCACCGCAGCTCAGGGGGGTGCGCATCGCTCCGCATCGCACTGCATCGCACTGCATCGCACCGCATCGCATCGTGCCGCCACCCGAGCGTGCAGTGTGGTGCCACCGTTACCGCGGTACCTCTGTCGTCAGTAGAGGTACCGCGGTGTTGTCAACAACCCTATTACCATTGTGAGCTTGGTAGCACCACCACACGGCCACCACACCATCAGGACACTCAACACATTACCACCACCACTGCATCACCTCATTACCACCACCACCACCACACTACCTCATAACCACCATCAACTACACCATACCACTCTGCCACGACACCCAGCAGCACCACCATCACACTAACATCACACCACCACCAACCCAACACATTACCATGTCAACACCACTCAACCACACGCGACACCTTGTGCGGCGGTGTTCAACCCCCCTGCCGCGACGGGCACGCACGCGACCCCCCGGTGCACCGTGCTCTAACGCTGATGCCCGCCCCGGCCCCGCAGAGCGACGGGAAGCTGTCGCGTAACAAGAAGAAGAAGCTGAAGAAGAAGCAGAAGCGGCAGGCGGTGCTGCTGGAGCAGCGGATGCAGGACATCGAGGTGATGGAGCGCGAGGTGAGGGCGGCAGCCTGTGCAGCGCTCGCGGCCGGCCCGGTGAATGGGTACGGCCTCCACTGGAGGGATCTGCAGAGAGCCACTCTAGAGGGTATACTTGGCCTATTCTTCCACGCTGTCCAGGCATCTTGGAAGAGGTGGCAGTACCCACACACCGTCTTACCCCTCCGCACACGACCCGCCGACTTAACCGCCGTGCACCCATTCTTACTGCTGGGCGGCCAGAGGTCGGTGGGGCGGGAGGGTGGGCTTTGGTGGGGGTTGAGACGGGACGCGTGACCGGTGCGCCGACTGACCGCGGTGTCGCGGGCCTCCCGTCCGCAGGCGCAGGAGGTCAAGGGCGACTCGCCCAGCGAGGCCGTCGCCTCGCAGGAGTCGCCGCAGGAGCCGCCCTCCCTCGCCGCCGCCGCCCTGCGTGCGCAGAGGGACGAGCCGGAGGAGATGGAGCAGGAGGAGGGGGACAAGGCGGCCGCCGGCGTGGGGCGGCGGGCGGCGGAGGAGGAGGAGGACGGTGACGAGCAGAGGAAGGAGGAGGCGGTGGTGACGTCTCTGGGATGCCCCCCGGACGCCGAGCGAGGGGCCGCGCGTGGCGACGCGTCGGCCACGGCCACGGCCAGGGCCACGGCCAGGGCCGCGGCCACGGACGACAAGGAGGAGGTCGCCGATGGGGCGCCGGCACGGGACGGGGTTGTGGCCACGGCGGCCGATTTGCCCGGAGGTGAGGCGCGGGCCGCCCTCGACGTTGAGCCTCCCCCAGAGACTACCCACAATGCTTTGCTGCTGCACGATGCTGTAGGGACACAGGCGGGCGAGTGTTCCCACGATGCCGTGCAGCTGCAGGCGACGCTGCTGGAGCTGGATGACATGGCGGACGAGGCCGAGGAATGTAAGCGGCGTGCGACTGCCGTGTGGTGGCTTCTCCTCCGCTTGCGCCTCCATCCTTCCCTCCCCCCCTCCTCCTTAACGTCATCGCTCCCTCCCGTGCCTTGGTCCACCTCCCTCCTTTGCGTGTAGCTAATGGTTGTCGTGGCTCTGCGTGTCGTGTGAGTTGCTCCAGAATTCCGTTGTGACAGCATCACCCCAATACACCACGATCCCGACCACCGACTCCCATTTCTGTCCCGGATCAAATGCAGGGTCACACTCAGTGTCATCAAGATGCTGCTTGGACTCGCCCCTGCCTACCTCTCTGCCCTGCCCTCTCATTGCTCCCCCACTATGTACTCTTTACATACAAGCACAGTGTGATTCTAATACGAGCACAGTGCGATTCTAATATAATCAAAGTGTGATTCTAATCCCGCACCTCCAGTTCACGCGGTTGACTACGTACTGTGCAAAAGAAGTTCAATGTACATATACTTTGCCATCCGCATCTTAAACGAGGGTGTCCACCTCATCAGATGCTGCAGCAGAAGCAGAATCCATGGAAATTTGTGGCAAAATCCCCGTTGCATCCGATTGGCTGGTGGAGTGATGATGTCATCCTTAACAACGGTTGCCACGCTGTCTGCGAACTTCGATTTTCTCGCCACGCATTTTAGCATCGAACGCAAAAATCGCTTACCCCGCTCAGGTTCACGAAACGTCTTTGTGCTCCAGCCTCAGGTGGCTCACGATCCAACGCCTACACGGCTGGGAATCTAAATAACGACCGCACGCCAGCGACAGTTCACCACCGGGTCTGCCAGGTGGTTGTGCTTTCCAGCAACGCTCCTTCGCGGGCCACAAGGCCAAATGCGATTGGACCAGAGACATCGGAGCTCTCCCCTTCGTTAGACGCTGGCTTTCATATTCACAATCGTATTTTGGCTACGTCACCATCTGGCCAAATCTGTCGTTCGGACCCCTCCACTACCCGACACGATGAAGCTAATGACTTTGTCACCGTTGTCCACACGCGTTTGGCTATGCGGCAATGGTTATTGTTTCAGCGCACTCGCGTCTTCGGCACAAGATCCAGGAAGTCAGGATCACCACGATACCTGACCTGGCTTCTCACCAGATCAACCAATCAATTATCTAGGCATTATATCTGAAATATTAATTTAACTACTCATGAATATACTAGTACGTAGCGGAATTATCGTCAATGCACGAACTGCAGCCGTTGTGACGGCAACATTATAATCTATACGTAATTGGATACCATCGGCGCGCAATTAATTCGCGACCCTCGGCTCGATCTAAAAGCTTCTTCCCCCCTCCCCGCGCCACCGGCTGGGCCCTGTCTCCGCAGTCGGCGAGGCGGCGGGAGCCGGGGAGGGAGCCAACGACGTCGCGGAGGACCGCCCGCTGTGCAACGGTCGCGCCCACAGCCCCTCCTCCGCGTCCCAGCTCTCCCCGCGGGGGTCGGGGTCGGGGCTCTCGTCCCCCGCCTCCGAGGGGGGGGGCCGTCCGACGGCGGCCGAGGTCCCCGCCGACGCGGGGCCCGCGGAGGGTGGCGGCGACGGCCGGGGAGACGAGGGGACCGCGGGGAGGCGAGGGCCTGGGGTGGGGGGTGAGCAGCAGCGGCAGGAGGAGCGCGGCGAGCGGAGCCGCGTGATGTTGCCGTCCGGAGCGGGAGACGCTTCCCAACGTGAGCGCTCGCTCGCGTGCCTCGTGCGGCGGGGGCTTAGCTGGCACGCACACCGATTGACGGAGCTTTCCAACGAAGGTTGCAAGCGTACATTTAGAGCTGGGTTTTTCTGGACGTCGTGAGAACTCAAGCTACCAGGGTCGGGTCTCGTTTGCCAGCGTGACCCGGGACGTGAGTCTGCTAGCAGGGGGCGGCGAGCGCCGCTGCTGTTGCGTACCGTGGCAAAATTTGGACCCTGACGCCAGCACACAACGGCACGCTCTTGCGAATGACGCCACGGGATCTTAAACGTCCACGGTGACGGTTATTACGCCGCAGTAATAACCAGGGCGGCCGCTGGATCCGAACCGTGAACCTCTACCACTGGGCCACCGCGTCGCCGTGAAAGCGTTCGCTCGCGTTGTCCGTAACGAGGGGTCAGGGAAACTCCCTTACGGGTGTCAAGTCGTGCTGCTGCTGCTCGGGACTGGCCCTGTCGCAAACCGGACCACGTTCGTGACGGGGGTTGACAAAACCTGGTGGCGATAGCGAGCAATGAAAGGGTCTCGTCTCGACCAAGTCGATGTCGACCAGTGCGTGTTGAACGGTCCGTACCAATGGCGGAGATTATAGAAAAGGGACGACGGTGAGACGATCTTGATGTGAAGCTTTCGTGACTGCAGGAATCCATACTCTTTGGTTCTTTCGGTAAAGTCACGTAGGTATAAAATAATAATGAATCGCGACGTTTCGGGCGCAACACAAGCAAATGAATAAGAATGAATGGTAGGCTGGATTGTTAATTGCTGGTGCTGTATTTGCTTTGTGTGTGTGCGCGCGTGTGTCAGGTGTGCGTGTGTCTAACGTGCGTGTTTGTGTAACGTGCGTGTTTGTGTAACGTGTGCGTGTTTAGATGTCTGTGCGTGTAACATGTGTGTAACATGCGCGTGTGTCATGTCCGTGGGTGCGTGCGTGCAGTGCCGCCGTCCTCGGCCGACCTCGTGGTGAATCTGCTGGACCCCGGCAACGCCGAGAATCTCACCATCAAGATCGCCGACCTCGGCAACGCTTGCTGGGTGGTGAGCGACCACATCTTTAACCACCGCACCACCACCGCGTCTCGCCTCCCGCGTTCATCCCTGCTGGTGTGGCTGTGGAGGGTGCTTGTGGTCAGAGAGCCGTGGGTTACTCTGCTCGTGATAGTTGCCGCTGGAGATGGGTTGGCGTCGGTGGTGGCCGGTAATCCGGTGCCACGAGCACTGTGGTTTGGTGAGTGAGATTGTGCGAAGGTATGATGACCCCCCTTGAATCAAAAGTCTTTAGACTCGCTGGGCTAAACATGCGTCATGAATACAATCCTGCTTACCGATCGTGATGGTGGGAATAACGGTGCAATGATCGTGATTGTGATGCCGGGCCCAATGGTGCGATGTGTCTCTGCAGCACAAACACTTCACGGAGGACATACAGACGCGGCAGTACCGCGCGCCGGAGGTGCTGATTGGAGCCGGCTACGGCGTCGCCGCCGACATCTGGAGCACGGCGTGCATGGTGAGAGAGCGACTCGCCCCGTCATCTCCGAAGCGTCGCCCCCATCACCTCTGCAGCAGCATCACCCCGTCACAGCCACTCCCATTGTAACAACCTCACAGCCTGACACCCAAGATGTCACCCCCCCATAGTCGTAATGCACGAGCCTCACTTCCTTGGCGCTCACCTTTGCAGCCTAATACCCAAGGGCTCACCTTTCTGCCTCACCCCACTCCTAGAACCTAACCCTCTCAAAGCCTCACCCTCATGGCTTTAACCCTACAGCCACGGCCTGTATGTTTGTATGTAGGACTTCTTCCGCACCGTACGTAGCCAACCGTGATAACGACCCTCGCTGCCATCGGCTCATTCCCACGGACTCACCCCCACACTTGACCACCGTGGCCAAGTCCCCACCCTCGCCGTACAGCTTTACATTCGTGTGCACGTTGGCCATGCTTGAAGGTGTGGGGGCAAGACGCGTCTGACCATTTGGTTGCCTGCGCGTCGGTGTGTAATGCGCGCCGTGGTTCGTCCCTTGGTTGTTTGCCGTGCAGGCGTTTGAGCTGGCAACGGGCGACTACTTGTTTGAGCCGCACTCGGGGGAGGACTACTGCCGAGACGAGGGTGGGTCCAGAGCCTCGCACGCTTCCAACGCGGCCGCGCTCGCTTACTCGCTCGCCCGCTCGCTTGCTTGGTCGCTTACACTCGCACTCACTCGCTTGGCAGAGCCTCGTGGTGAGTATCCGTGATGCTGCCGATGAATGAGGGCACCATGGTGACGAGATGTTAACTACCTCTCCTGGTATACAGGAGGTCGTGGATTCGATCCCGACACTGACACCTGCTGTATATTTTGAATTTGCGTGTTCTCCGTGTAGTCACGTGGATTTTTCTCCAAGTCCTCCGGTTTTAAACTCCGCATTTAGAAACATGCGTTTATGGTATTTGGCTGCCAGAAATGTCGACATGATTAGTCACTTCGTTGAACTATCATTTGTGACCAGGTCGCTTCTGAAAACCAACTATACAGCTCGGTGGGCCTTGTCTGGTAAAATACAAAAGTTTAAATAGTTTAAATAGTTTGAATGATGGAAGCGGGCTGTGGCACATTCTTGGTTTTTTTCGCCGGCGAGGGAGACTGCCGCTTCTGCCGTGCCATCTCACGCGACCGTCGTTTGCATCCGCGGCGCCGGCGACGAAGCGCCTCGTTGAGGGGACGCTGCCGGCGTCGTCGTCCCAGGTTGCCCTGCGCCGAGCGTCGGGATTGCACGGCGACGCTTCCAGAGCCGGCGCCGCAGCGGCGACTTCAAGAACCCAACGCCGGCCGCTGGCGCTGGAACGTGCCCCCCCCCGGGGTGCCTCGATGTAACGGGGGGCGAATTTGTATTCCTTTCCTAGACCACATCGCCCTGATCACAGAGCTGATGGGGAGGCTTCCCAGGAAGTACGCGCTCTCGGGGAAATACTCGAAGGAATTCTTCACCAAACAAGGTGCGGAGTGTGGCCACGGCGGTGACGATGCTGATTGCAATGACGATGATGTTTGTTACGTGAAGAGGTGGAGGAGTTGCACTGACCTGTAAACGTGTGGACGATGACAAATAGCCAACTTGAAGTGTGTGACGAGGCGATGAAGGGCAGTGGATTCGTGGTAGAAGTGTTCTCGAACGAGGAGGAGAAATGTTAAAAAACTAATGAGAGGTGGCCGGGTGGCTCGGAGGTCAGAGGGCCGAGCTGGCACCGCGGGGATCCTGGGAGCTGCCGTCTGAATTCCAGCTCGGAGAATATAACGATATCAGTTTGACGGTCACATCATGGAATTAATCATCAAATCCGGTTCAATTTTAGTAACGGGTCGATTGGCAGACGCGAACTTTAAAACGGCACGGAGGTTGGTCAAGCAGCAGCAGCAGCAGCAGCCGCCATCATAATAAGGCACCAACAGCAGGGCTTGTCTTATGCACACACACATGGACACACACGCGTACACGCACGCAACGGGCTGGACTTGTTAGACTTTTTATTTGATAGTTTCTTTGCTTGTGATTATCGATAGCGCCACACAACTGACATTAATGACCTTCATCGCAAATGACCGTGGCGGCGAGCGTGAAAACATTGACGAGCACCGTCTACGCCGCCCCCCCCCCCCCACAGGCGATCTGCGCCACATCACCAAGCTGAAGCCGTGGGGGCTCTTCGATGTCCTCGTGGAGAAGTACGAGTGGCCGCTGGAGCAGGCCGCCATGTTCACCGACTTCCTGCTGCCCATGCTGGAGGTGTTGCCCGAGAAGAGAGCCTCGGCCACACAGTGCCTCAAGCACGCGTGGCTCGGCTGCTAGCACCAGCGGCCCGCCCGCCCGGACCGACAAAAGTTTGTCGGCCTCGCCGCTACTCCCCGCGTGATCTTACTAGCCTAGCCGGTCGGTCAGTCGAGTAACGTAAAGCCTACGGGCGCAGTGTTTCTGCGCAAGCCGACCGGCACGCGGGGCCTTGCGCTGAACTGCTGTGCCCCTTACCCTGCTGTGGGGCGGTACCAGGCGCCGTCACGATGCGCGCTCCCTCGCCCGCTTCTCATAGCTGTGCTATGTTCCGCACGCCTGCTAGGGTCCTGCCGACCACTGCGTTAGCACCCCGAACCTCGAGCATCAGTGACCCCCCCCCCTCCCCGCCCCCCGTGGGGGAGCCGGCTGACGTGTTGACGGGAACCTCCAGGGGTGGCCCCTCCTCCCCTACCCTGGCCTGCGGTAGCAACATCGGCAGTGGAGATGAATAAGCAATACCTGAGCCGCCCGGAATCAAACGCGTTTTGAAGGCAGCGTCGGCCCCCGTCGTGGTTCGACAGGAGCGCCCTGTGGCGCCCGTTCGCTTGAGCTTGGTGTGGGTTGGTCGGCTGCCTACCGCCTGCGCCTTCCGTTATTCTCACCGTGCACATTTCTTCTCTTTTTGTAATAATTCCGTGTGCCGTTTTTTTGTTGTGAATCTAAAGTGCAGCCACCTTTAGAGCATGCTGCAGTTCAGGACTTATGAAATAAAGTTTGTTATCTAGTAACCGATGCTCCTGTGTTCATCTGCAAACCGACTTCCTGGCCACTGTGCGATGTGGGTTGTGACGTCGAGTTGCGGCTTAAATTGGTCGCGTTATCGGCAACAGATCGTGGCTTCCCACATCTGGGGTGCCCATATCTACAACCGCAAGCTCCGAGGTGGTCAGCTCGAGATTCCTCAGGTCCATGTGAGTCATCCCCCACCCCAGGTTTCTGAAAGTCTGTTATGTTGTCCCTAAAAATGATTGAATATCCAAATTGAGTCTTGTTTAATGGCCCCGCACTCATTCTCCACTTGTGGCGTGGGAAAAGGGTGGGGGCTGGCAGAGGAATAGGCAGGGCCTACATCAGAAACCACAGCCACTGTGGAGGTCGGGCCTAGTCACTTAGGGCTTTGTAAAACTCAGTGGGGAAGACAGACGGAGCTTGTGTCCTGGTTGAGCCTCGCATAAATGTGGTAGCTTTATGGTTGAGTGCACTAGTGAAGTTTGCACTTCTTTCCCTGACCGCTCTACTCTGCAGTGCAACACCGGGTGTGCCCCTCGCCAAGAGCCTTTGCCCCACGTGTCCCGGACGCGAGAGCGTTTCGTCGTCGTGTTCTCTGCCACCCGTCTGTCCAGGAACTCTGCGCCACTCGGTCTCACAACGGTTACTGTTCGCTGTTGCATGACAGTAAAATACTGATACTTGAATACCTGCATGGGGCATACTTGAACGCTGTACACAGGGGATGAGAGCCGCTCTCCTGCATGGGTTTGTTCTGAGATAATAAATTGCAAGAGTCAAGGCTTTCAAAAATAACTTTTATTGGTGTGGTATGAGTTGCATTTTAAAATCCACAACCAACTGTACTTATCCTAGTGTGATCCCTATCAGGAAGTTATAATACAGTTGTAATAAAAAACTACATTTTTACAGGCTACATTGATGCAAACATACAATATTTACAAAGATGTATAGATATAGTTTCCTTTTGAAAAGTTAAAAAGCTCAAATACAAACATTAACCAAACACAACTCGACTGTTCGCCGCACATCTTCCCATTGGGAGGGCGCCGCCCGGCTCCCAGGTGGACGATGTAAAAAACGCTACGAATGGAAACATTTTCTCGCGCGACGTCACGGCAGTCTCCAGGCTGGACAGGCAAAAAACGGGGACGAACATTCAAACAGAAAGACGTATCAAAACGAGAGAGTGCTGATTGCTGCTGCTGCTGTTGCTTGTACAGTCGGGCACGCTGGAATGTTTAACGACGCTGTACATTTTTACAAGTGCGTGCGGTGTGGCCTGGACGGCGCCGGACACGCGAGCGGCGCCGTCCACGCTCAGTGCTGCTGGTAGTAGGACGAGGGGCCGTGGAAGGCGCTGGTCGCCGGGGCGCTCTGCTGGTAAGCGGCCGTCGGCTGAGTTCTGGGCGCCGCCTGCGCCGCCTGGGGCGGGGCCGGTACCTGCGGGGGAGGGGGCGGCGGCGGCGGCGCGTGGTAAGCGGTACCCGCCGCGGACGGTGCCGGCGGCTGGTGGTACGCCATCGCGACGGCCGGCGTGGGCGCCGGTTGGTGGTATGGCGAGGACGGGTGGGGCTGAGGGAAGGGCGGAGGCGGGGGCGGGTGCGTGGGGTACATCTGGTAGTGCGCGCCGGTCGCCGGCTGGTACGCCGGCGAGGACGCCAGCGACTGGTAGGAGCCGACGGCCGGCGACGCCTGCGGCTGCGCGGGCTGGTAGTGCACGGCCTGCTGCGGCGGCGCCGCCATGTAGATCGTGGGCTGCTGCACGTACGTGCCGCCTGCCACGGGCTGCAGGTACGACGGCGCCACGGCCTGCGTCGGTTGCGCGGGCGCCGGTGGCGGAAGAGTCTGCGCGGCAGCGGCCGCCGCCGCGACGGAGAGAGGAGCCTGCCTGCGCGTGATGCGCCACCGACGCGGTTAGCAAGCTGCTCGCCGGCTGGTACGCGGCGGCCCCCGGCGCCGCCGTCAGCTGGCCGAAGGACGGCGCGAGACGGGGTAGCGTCGCCGCCCCGGCTGCCTGCGCCTGCTGGGCGCGTGCGTAGCCGTGGTACTTGGCGTGCGGCTGCTGGCCGTGGTGCGTGGGGATGGGGCAGCCGACGGGCGCCGTTTGCTGGGCGGGCGGCGCGTGCGGCGGAGGCGGGGGGTTGAACGAGGCCGGCTGCTGCTTCTGCGGCGTCGCGGGGGCCTGGGCGTGCGTGGCCGGCGGCCCCGCGGCGGCCGGCTTGCTCTGCGCCAGCACGACGAGCGTCGCCCGGAGCGGAGACGACGGCAGGGACTTCTGCCTCGCCGGAGACTGATGCAGGGTGCCGTGCAGTTGCGCCCCGGCGGAGCTCTGCTTCCCCGCTTGCACCGACCTGAGGGGCGACGAGCCGGCCTGCTGCTGCTGCTGTTGAGCCGGCATCCGGAGTGGCGACACCGGGGGCAGCGCGGCGCCGGGGAGGCCGGGTGACGGGTGCCCCACCGTTGCCGTCGACGGCCTGGACTTAGTGGCCTGCGCCGCCGGCTGCTTGTGGGTTGCCGGCGCGATGGTGGGGGCGGCCGTCTTCAGCGGCGCGAGCGCCGGCGCCTGCGTGGGCGTGAGCGGCGTCCCAGGGGAGGACGGCGCCCTGGTCGTGGAATCGTGCGGAGATGGCGCCCGGGGGGCTCCGTGCGGCTGCGATGCCGGGGGGCCCTGCAGCAGCAGCAGCGGCGTAGACATTACCACCACCAGCCAGCCTCACCTATCCGACCTCCGCGCCGCACGCTTCAACACCTCTCTCCCGCCCGCTGCTTCAAGTCAACAAAGTGAGTGTTGGCAGTGGTGGTAGTCGTGGAGGTTGTAGCAGTGGTGGTGATGGTGGTGTCTGGTGATGGAGAGGTTGACTGGTGGTGGAGGTGGTACCAGTGATGGGGAAGGTGGTGAAAAGTAGGTGGCTGGTGGTGGCGATCGTGGCTGGTGTTGGTGGTGGTCACGTGGAGATCCAGTAGTAGTGGTGGTGGTCACTGCGGTTGTACCGGTGGAAGGCGGTGGGGGCTGTGGGCGGCAGGCATGGGGCTGTGCCGTGGAGACCCGGCTCCCTCCACGGCGCTCTCCTCACTTCCCTCCCAATCTGCGCGGAGAGGCCACGCGTTCACCAATCGTCCACCACTCGTCACACACCGCATACTCAAACCGCGGTCACTCTTGGCAGAGAATTCACCAGGGAAGACGTGTCCTGCGTTACCGTGAGGTGTGTAATGATGCAGAGCCATTGGTACAACATTTCACTTGCATCTGTCTTTGTGAATCAATTAACGTTGTTTACCTGGGTCGAGAAAACTGGTGCTGCAAGCTGCCACCGAAGGCGCTAAATTAACAATGGCCAAAAAATTATTGAATTTAATCCTGACAATTTATCAAAACTCGAGCGGCCAAATATAACAAACCTATTTACCATATAGCATGCCGTGTTACCACGGCATTCCTGTGTGGCCGTGCCCGTGTTACCGCGGCGTGTTGTGGCTGGCCCCGTGTTACCGTGGCGTGTTGTGGCCGGCCCCTCCGGGTGCTTGTTCTCCAGGAAGGCAGAGGGAGACGGGATCTTGAGACGGAGGCGAGGGTTGGACAGCCGCAGGCGCCGGGGGGTGGTGTTGGTGGTGGGGGCCTGCGCCGGAGGGGGCCCCCCACCGGCTCCCCCCCCCTGTGGAGCCGGGCCAGGTGAAGGAGCCGGAGAGGAGCCGCCTGAAAGGGCGAGGGGGGGGCACACCGCGTCAGTCCGTGCGTCGCTTCGGCAACAACCGTTGCGACCGAGAGCGCAGCAGCTCCTGCGCTAGGAGGCGTTACCGGCGGAGGCGGTGTCGGGCCGGGGGCTGGCGCCGTGGTCTCGCTTGAGAGCCTTGTGGTAGGAGGCGGCCGCCTCCCGAGCTCTCTCCACGGACGTCGGGGACATCCTGCGAGGGAGTGGCAGCCAGAGCAACGTGAGCACAACGGCCCTGCAGCAGCGCCGCAATCCTCTCGTAGCGGGCGAAGACGCGCACGCGCACACAATACGGGCGTACGCAAAGATCCCCGTGTCGTCTTGGACTGCAAGTGTCGTGAGCGAACGCCGATTAGGTCAACGCAGCACACGTGCTGAAGGTGCGATCACCACCACGTCCGTCTGGCTGCCAATAGCGGACACGCATAAATCGCACTAAAGCTCGAGCCGCGATGCGGTGGGAGACTGGGTCTCGTACCACCGGACGTCCTCCTTCTCGTGAGACTTGGTGGGCGGCGCCACCGGCGCGTCGTGGCTGGCGGACGGTAGGAGAAGAGGCGGCTCGGACGTGCCCGGGGGCTCGGCGGGGCTGATGGGCTCGTAGGTCTCGTGGGCCGCGGTGGGGGCCGGCGGCGCCGACGGGAGCCGCGCGGGCTCCCTGGCCGCCGCGCCGCGTTCCGACGGCAAGGGGGAGTCGCCGGGCCCGCCGCCGGGGCCCTCGGGCCTCGTGCTCTCCTTGGCCTCGCGCTGCCGTTTGCGGTACTCCAGCAGGGACACCTACACAAAGGCACAGCTTGGTTACCCCCCCGCCCCTCTACGTCTCCTACAATTGTCAACCACGGTTACTTGAATGGCACCATCCAGTTTCACGCTTAAACAAATCAAGACGTGCAATCGCACCTTCGAATATCATGGCTGGCTATGTGCAGTGCTAAAGAAGTTCAACATACATACATGTCCATCATCTCTGCTTCTCTTAACCATTTATCAATGACGCCCCGATGCATGTGTATGGACTGCGTACCTATGCGTCGATTCAAATTAATATCGATATCCTTGTGCTCGCGATACACACATAGAATCGGGCAGGAGATGATCGATTCTTTTGTACGCCGAACACAAGTAGAGATAACGATTGTGACGATTCGTCGGATCGTGATGCGGACGAATTAAAACTCCGACGGTGTCCGGGAACAGCAGCTACCTTCTTCTTCTGCGGAGGGTTGTGCGGGGACAGGCCGTACGCCGCCGCTTCCATCTGCAGCTCGAGCTCGTGCGCCAGGTCGGCGCCACAGTCCACGCCGGCGCCCTCGCCCAGTGAGCACGCGCCCTCCAGCTCCTGCAGGCCCAGCAGGGGGGCGGCGCCGGGGCATCCGGCAAACGCCATCTCCGCTTCGGCGCCGCCCACCGTCGCCGCCGCACGGAACCCGCCGCCCAGCTGGTGCGAGGGCGTCAGGTCGCGCAGGTTCGAGTTGAGTGGCGAGAAGCTGAAGGGCGCCAGCAGCTCCGCGCCCTTAACGGGCGTCAGGTACCCCGCCGACGCGCCCGGGCCCTCCGAGTCGGCGCCCGGGACGGCGTCGCCGAGCGGCGCCGGGCTGGGCGGGGTGCCGGCGTGCGAGCAGCGCCACTCCGTGGGAGAAGACGACAAGTTCTCCGGAGGGAGGGCATCCGTGGCGGAGATGGAATCCGGACGCTCCTGCTCTTCCGCGTCATCCCTCTGCAGCCCCTTCCTCGCGCCCGGTTCCGAAGTCGCCTCCGGGTCAGGGGCCGGCGTTGCCGGGGCGGCGCAGCCCGGCTCCTGTGGCGAGAACGGAGCGGTGAGTGCCGAGGCTCTTTCACCACAACACTTCGCCTTTGCAACAAACGGCGTGACCCGGAGTGCGTTACCTCAGAGCCGCAGAAGATGGATCGCTTGGCTTCGGGGGAGCTTTCAGGAGAAGAGATGTTCTGCCGGAAAACGGGAAACAAGAGGACAATCCGTTGCCGTCCGATGACGCAGGCGCACCCGACAGCGGCGTCAAACGCACACAGTTTGCGCACGAGGACATTAAAGCACGTGGGCGCGGTGCCCTCACCTCGTACTGGACGCTGGCGGAGAGGGGAGCGCAAGCGTTGGGCGTGACGGGCGTCACGGGCGAGCACACGAGTCCATAGCCATTCCTGAGCACCTCCTCCCCGGCGGGAACGCCCGGCTCGTCTTCTACCGCCGCCCCTTCGACTCGCGGCACCGGGAACGCGGGACCGGCAGAGGCCTTGGCGCACGGGGGCGTCGTCAGGAAGGCCGGCGCTGCGCTCGCCGTCGTGGGCGTGACGGGGGCGGACGCGACCCCGGGCGGGCCCCTCGGCGGCGTGGCCGGAAGGACGGCGCTCGGGGTCGCCGCCTCGCCGGGGATCGTGGCGACGAGCGAAGGCGGCGGCGGCGTCGTCGCCTCCGAGGGCTCGCCCGCGGGCGGCACGGCGGGGCCCGCGGCGGTGTCGGCCGATCCCAGCGGCAGCGCCGCCACGTCCCCCGGCGCGGCCGGTTCCCCGACGCTGGCCTCCGAGGCGTCGCGCAGCCGCCTCTTCTTGAGCGGCGTGACGAGCTCTGCGCGACAATCGCGCGGGCTCAAGCCGTCGTCCAGGAGGCGGGCGCCTCCGCCGGGGAACGGACGCCGGCGCGCGAGAACGAACGCGTCGTTACCCGTGAGCGAGGAGGCGCTCTCCGTGGGGGATACGCTGCCCGTTGGGGTCACGTCGCCGCCGCCGTCGTGGGCCGGGCTGTCCCGCGCCGCCGCGGGGGACGCGCAGTCCGAGCCCGCCGCCGTCTCGTCCATCGCTTGCTTCAGCCACCGCTGCACGCGCCCACAGCGCAACAACGTCAGGGACGACAACAAAGTCGCGTCGCTCCACCGTGCGCCGTCTACCGTTCCGTTCGCCCCGCCCTCGGCGCCGGACGTCAAACCGCGTCGCCCCTTCGCCCGAGCCTCGCCGCACATAGCCGCTTTCGCTGGCGCTCAAAAACCGCGCGAAAACCGTGCGTCGTCTCTCACGGGCCGCCACCTTCTTGCAGGAGCCGAAGTTGCTGTCCAGGCTGGGCCTCTTGCGGCGCGGCGTAGCCGTGGCGGAGAACGGAGAACCGAAGCGCACGTAGTGCTTGGGTGTGGCGTAGAGCTGCGGGCTGTGCGTGAGGCCCGGCAGGGAGTTGAGGGTGGTGGCCAGCACCGTGGGGTCCGTGGTGATGCGCAGCGGCACGTCGTAGGGGCTCTCGCCAACGCCCCCGTGGCCGCCGCCGCCATCGCTGCCTGCGCCGTCCACCGCCACCGGCTTCTCGCTCAGCCATTCGCTCACTAAGTGCTGAAACACACCGAGACATTGCCGCCGGTGTCATCATAAATGTCCAGCTGCTCTGGACGAAGGCCTCTCTAAGTACCGTCGCCAACCCTCGCAGTCTCGCAGTGCTACTGTCCATCTCACCTGCCAAAGAACAGAACTCATCGTTCCAACTCGGCAGCATTTATCCTCTTGGGATGCGTTCACGAGCACCGATACTGACAGGTCTAAATCGCCACCACCCAGCCCCATTAAGTCTAGGACATGTTTCTCAACACCTTGCCTCAATGCTTTTATCGGCCGGGAAAGATGTCGATATCCAGTGGTGAGAGAACGTGGTCATACCTGCATTTTCCTTAGCAAGTGAGATTCAACGAAAGGACTTGCCTGGCTTCCCTTAATTTCAAAGAGACTGCTCTTAACGGCGTTAGAATTACATGTGGGAGGTGTGCCCTGGCGGTACGGTGCGAGCGGTGCCCGGCGAGGAGCTACCTTCTTGGTTTTCGGGTATCGAGCGTTGGCTTTGGTGCAGCCGGGCGGCGCCGGCGACGGGGCCGATCCCAGATCCTCTCCCACGCTCGCCTTGTCCGCGCCGGCGGCGGCGGCGACGACGGTGGCGGCGGTGGAAGCGGCGGCGGCGGCGACGGGGGACAGGCCTTGGGGGAGCAGCTCGCTAGGGGACACCAGCGGGGAGCTCTCGACGCCGCCGCCGCTCCCAACGTCCGGCGAGGGCGGGGGGTGGTCCGAGCAGCCGCTCGTGGTGCGGTTGCGCCGCCGCTGCTGCCCGATGTGCGTGCGGTTGCGTGAGAAACTGCGCCGTGGCTTTGCGCGGTTCACTTTGGCCGCCGTCACCGTCGCCGGCCTGGGAGCGCCTCCCGCCACCGCGCCCTCCTCCTTCACCACCACCACGTCCTGCGGGTGTCACCGCCACAAGACACCGTTACGTACGGGTGCACGCCGCCGGCCGCTAGCGCAGGCAACGCCGCAGTGATTGTGTGCCTAGACAAGGCCCATTTCATGGTCAGTGATGACCAACGTTGTCAGTGTTAAATCTACAGATAGTAATATGAATGGTGACTATGTCAATCATTATAACGACTTCAACTGTTGCTTTGTACCCTATAACACGATGCCATAAACTTGTAGGGACATACGACATAGCTCTCGTGTTAATTCAAAAAATACCTTAAACAACCCCAGGGTCTAGACAAGTGCTGTAGAGCGGTCTCCAAGGATCAAACTGTGATGACAAGGGGGCGAGGGGTGAGCGCGAGGTAGCTGCTGGGCATTTTGGCCTCCCGATACACGCCTGTCACACAAGGGAGGTGCGGCTACATCCTTCATGCATGGGAGTTTGACGAGTTTCCTAATTGTTGACTGAAGTGTGGTTTACCACTTGCATGGGTCTGTGGGAGCCTACGAGTCTCTATCCGAGTCTATGATCTCTGTGCTAGTACCGGTCTCCTCCATAAGTTGGGGAATTTACGGAGTCTCCCCCCAATGTGAGTGCAGCGAAGCGCAATCCGTTCCTCGCATCACCAACTCACGCTTTTGCCGGGGGTTCAAATGTTTGGCGACCCCAGATGCCATCGAGAGGCTCAATATCCTCCACGCAAGCACAGCTACAAACTCAACCGTTTCTTTTTAAATGCCACACCACGGAAATACACACCTGCGTGGGTGAGGAGAGCGTGAGGGTGGGTGGGTCCGCGGTGTCGGGGGTGGCGTCCTTGCTGTCCGTGCCCTTGGAGTCCACGGACGCCGCTTTGCCGGTGGCGCCGCTGCAGCTGATCCTCTCGAGCGCCTGCTCCCTCCGCTTCTCCCGCCTCTCCATCTTGGCGATCACCTGCATGATGGCCTCCATCTTGCGCTCCTCGCGGGTCTGAGCGGTGACAGCAAAACTCGTCGGCGTCAGCGCTGGCACCGCAGGGCAAGGCTCGGCCTGTCCGTGACCACGCATTTGGGTTTCCCCATCACCTTCCTCCTATTTCACCCGAATTTGTTCTACGTTGGAGTGTCCACATGGCTACGCACAGCGCCCACTCGTCTATTTTAAATCTCTGGGGACACAGAAGTCGGAATTCTATGGTTGTCAATGCACTACCACACTTGGTACTGAACTCTAAGTTGTACAAATTGTCACTGCTCATACTAGACTCGGGCTACGGGCCTTGAAGCCAAGAAGACATATGCCAAATATAGCCACAGCCCTGGATGTCGACGCACAATTTCATTTCAATCGAGCTTTATTTATACAAAGCTCACAAGTTAAATTAAGCTTGTCCTGTGCCAATCAACGCAGGAGGCACTAAGGTGGCATTGGCGACTGGGAAGTCCGCAGCTCGTCACGTCGGCACCAGAAAGAAAGGCGTGGTCTCACAGCCGTGGCACGAGCCATGCCTGTCCGTTCACGCGCTCAAAGCATCAGCCACCACACACGTGCTCAACGTGCTCAAGGCTCTCTCTCGACAGCCGGGCACCTCCTGGGGCTCGGGGGTTTGCCGCAGCCCATCTCCACAGAGTGGAAACCTCGAGTGGCGCTGGCAGATGTCAAGGGGGTGACGGGTATCCTGCGCGCCTGGCCACTAGCCGATTTGGTTCCATTACTGCAGTACGAGATGCGTGGATCTCCTACAACCAACCTTGGATGGAAACACAGCATCAGCGCCACCAGTGGCGATGGCACTACGTCCGTTACGACAGGCACATTCAATTGACGTGGGAGATAAATCAGTCTTAACCACCCAAGAATCACCTAAGCCCGCAGAGATCCTTAAGAGGAAGATTCATTGGCAAATCATTAATATAATTTGTTCCACTGTCACAAGAAAGAGGGAAACGGCAAGTAAACACAAAGCGCCCCAACAAGCCCGGTCCAGCAGCGACCTCGAGACCACCACCGCAGAAGAAACCCGCGCGAGGCAAGGCTGAAAACATTGGGCTCGAGATGTGTATTTGGCAGACGTTGCGACACGCACACAGAATCTAAAAGCAGCGTGGAGGTTGCTTTGTCGATGCCGACTTGCTGCAGGGGAAGGGTGCCCGAGTCTTTGCAAGCTTCTGCAGCCCCCGCTCCCAAGGCGCCGAGCTGCCCACACAGCGGCGCGCGCAGCACAGGCAGACGGTAGCACCAAGCACAGAGAACGCCGAGGCCTCCTGCCATGCAGGGCCCACACTTACCATCTTCCTCCTCCTCTCTGCAATGAGCTCCTCAGACTCCATCTCTATTTCACTGCTAACAATGGCAGGTTTGTCTTCTAAATCCTCATATCTATCTGACTCCTGCAACACGCATGAACACACGAGCCGGGGTGAGCTGCCAGCTGCTAGAGCCAGGCCACGAAGGCACGTACCACTCAGTCACGCTCGCAAGGCAACTTCGGTTATGTCGTGATCAAATGTGTGCGCCCTTCCCACTGTGGGCATCAACTTGGTTCACTTCTGCCCTCCCATTCGACATTGCCGCCCACTCCTCCCACACTTAAGTGTACACCCCTGATTATTACCAAATTAGCGGCACAGTCGAAATAAAGCTGTTGACCAATATCAGCCAACGGTTATCCCTCCTATGCCGCCCAACAGCGGCGAGCGGGGACATAGCATCCATGGGCTGCCGTCCCATGCTCTACAACCGTCCTATGGAACTACACAGTAGCGCCTTGCAATGGACAAGTACAGTGCTGTGGATTTGCTGTGTGTGAACGACGATGGTGGGTGACGCGTCGGTCAAGCAGCCGAGCGGGCGGGCGCGTGGTTGCGTGCGCACCTGCGCGCTGGACGTGGAGATGCGTAGCGGCGACAGCCTCCGGTTTTTGCCGTCGAAGGCGGCAGGGTCCTTGGAGCCCTCGATGTCCGAGTCGGCGTTGGGCACGTCGCTGCTGTCTCTGTCGCGCGCCTTGGGCCGCTTGCGCCGCGCTTCTGCGCCGGAGACGGCGGTGCCGCCGCAGCCCGAGCCCGGCAACAGCTCACCGCCTTCCGCCACCATCTCGCGGTTGTGCCGCTCGACGGGACAGGCGAGCCCCTCCCGCAGGCACGCGCAGTTCACGGTGTAGTGGCTGGCGCGGGGAGAGAATGGGCAACGTCGTTGGCACACCGCCGCACTTCCCACACTGCCGCAGCCTTTTCGCTCGCTTCTCCACGGAACAGCTTCCCATGTTCACCAATCGCCCGGCAATAAGCACATTTGTCACCCGAATGATTGTGGATGTGGCAACATAAGCTGTGACAGGCATAGGCCAGAGGATTTAAATACATGCTGAAAATCTGGTACACGTACTGTCCTTTTATCACTCTGCTCCTGTATGAAACCCTTCATGAGCCGTGTGGGTCATGGGAGTTTTGTGACCATCCTACCATGCTGGTCAGGACAAATTGGTGAAAGCAGTGAGCATAGATGTGGGAGCATAAATGTACAAGATTTGCTACACTGCATTCTGCCCGCAAAGGTGCAGCGTCAAACGGAGGGAAGGTTTAGCGAGAAGGTTCTCAGGAGGAAAGAAGTTTAATTTTAACAATTCAAAGAAACCAACATATGATGCGTGGTGGGAATATAAGATATGAAGAGCTGCCGAAGTTCGTGATAATGGGGAAAAGGCGAAGGGGTAAAAACAGAATCCCACTGCTCGTCAACTTAAAAGTGGGTGCCGTACGACGAACCAAACGAGAATGTAAGATTGGGTGAAACTTGGGGATCTTGAACCAAGAACCTGTCCTTAAGGGCTAGAAGCAAAGCTGTCAACGTGTCATTTGGTGGAGCGCGTGTCCTGGAATCGTAATCAGACAAGCAGGGATTGTCCCTCTGTCTGTCTCTCTCCAAGCAGCCGGGAGACCTCACCAGCCGCTGTAGTCGAAGTCGAAGCCGATGGTGATCTCAGCCCCCTTGGAGATGTCGGCCAGGGAGTAGATGTAGAGGTGGAAGAGTCCAGCCTCGATCGCATGCCTCACCTGCATCCAAGCAAGGACACCGCATCACACTCATTGATCATCCTTTGACCATACTTCAACACGCTGGTGGGTTGGTGAAAGTTTGTAAACTGATAAATAAAAATGTTTGTAACTTAATTTGCAAGGTATCATCAATAACCCCCGAAATATGAATTTAGCAACCCAATTTATATTCGAGCTCTCGGGTCTGGTCGTCGCACGCCGCCCCTTCCCCCCCCCCAAGATGCGTCGCTGGTCGTGTGCGGGAGTGGCGGCGGTGCGGACCTCCGCATTGGGGGAGCAGGAGCGCCGCACGAAGCGAGCCTCGTTGCCGAAGGTGCGCGAATCCACGCACATATCCACGCCCAGGAACTTGGAGTAGAAGAGCACGAACGGGTATGGCCTGCGGGGGTGGGGGCAGCCACACAATAGATGCGTTTATTTATTTTGAAGAGAGAGGCAGTCAGCTGCCATAGGCTGTTTGAAAGAGGAAACTCACAAGCCTGGAATTAACCTGCGGCAGGGAGGAGACATGTTCTGGACAGAGTAGTTCCAGACATCTGGGGCAGCAGAAGAGAACTCGCAATCCATCATTGACTAGGGGCCTCCACAGAAAGCCGATATTAGTTAAAGAGTTCTCCCTGCGAATACCATCACCCATGTGTGTGCGCGTGCATCTGGGGAACGATGTCGTAGTGGTTAGCGCACTGTGCTACGAACCCGGTGACACAAGTTTTAGTCCCGTTCATGGCCAACACCAGTTACGATTAACTGAGCCGGTCCTGGGCCTCCCCTGGGTCGACTCAGCTTCAAATGAGTACCTGGTGCAATGTGTAAGCATTCTCACTCGGGAGACAAAGGCGGCTGGACGTGCCGCCGACCGCCCACCCCCTCGTGTGCCGTGCCGGCTTTCATAGGTGCTGGCTAACAGCACTTGCCCCAATGGTCTGCTAAGGCCACACAGGGCTTCTTTGTCTGTGTCGCTGCACGGCACCTTTTAAAGAAGAGGCCGTTGGCTTCAAACTGCTGCTGCAGCATCACCATGCCGCGGTACTCGATGAGCAGCGTGTGGGCGGGGAGGTCGCGCGCTGCCTTCAGGGCCTTGGTGCTGCGGAGGCCTTGGCTGGGTCGGCCCGGTGCCACCTGGTGTCGGCGGGACCGGCGCGCAATGTGTCACGCTCGCTGCGGGCGCGCTCTCGACAGACCGGTGTGTAACACGGATCACAACGGCACTCCACACATCCACGCATTTGTTCCGTTCATAAAAAGGTAATGGTTAAAGGAAGAGATATCGCCCCCCCACCCCGCGTCCCCAAAAAGATATACGATTAATAAACTTGTGTTTAGCGATTCTGATTGTGATGGGAAGATTGAAAACCTCGGCTGTTTGACATAAGTTTGAAGCTCCTTTCATGACATCAGTCCCACACATGTTACCATCGTGCCAATGGCATGATGTCCTCAGAGCACTATGGTGACATACTTTATCAAGAAGTTAAAAGTCTTTCTCACGATTCACAAGACGAGGGTTATTTGTGTTTTGTGTCGTAACTTTAAAAGTGCTGTGACCGCACCTGTGCCTGCCCGATGGACACGTTGATGTTGCTGCCGACGGTGCTGCTGCTGCTGTTGCCGTTGTTGCCGTCGACCGGATGGCCCGGCGTCTGGGCGCCGCCGGGAGGCTGGGCGGTCGGCGCGGGGCCGTGCGCGCCGTCCGCGCCGGCGCCTTCCACACCCCGCCCGTGCGACTCGAGGAGGCCCTGCGGATAAAGCCTCACGGTTAACGTAACCCAGCTTCCTTCCGTGTAACCCCCGCGCTTAACCGCTCTCCGATGGTGTTTTGGGTCGTCCTGCGTCATTGACAGCAATGAAGTACGGACGGACTGATGGGGGAAAGCAGCGTGAGACAGCAACGTGGAGGAGAGAATTGCGCGTCGAGCCCGGCTGTTGAGAGAATGCTTCACGAGTTATTTAAGCCCGGCGGCCGTCACGCTACCTGTAGGTCTGTGCTGTAGTGGTTGCTGTGCGCTTCCTCGTACTGCTCGGCCCACAGCTCCAAGCGACTCTCCCAAGCGCAAGACCACCCATCATCGCCCGCAGACGGGTCCGGTCCCGAGTTCTGTAATCGTGCAACACAAATGCGCACACAAACACATGTGCATTACTGCTGGGATTTGCAGACTGAATGCAATTGCATCTTAATACACCGTAACAATGGTCTATATGTATCTGGGGGGAAAATGAGGTGTGTACATATATACACATATACACTAATAATTTCTCAACGAGTCACTTATAGGGAGAAGAGGAAATTCTTGAGTCTGGACTGAAAGAGGTGGCAGGAAGTCGACAGACCGGTTTAGACCTTTTGGGTCTCTCACCAGCAGTCAGGCTACCTGCCGTCATCTCTCACGGTTTTTTGTTACCGCTCGTTTGTAAACACCCATCGAAGGCAAAAACTAAACAAAGGCTTTCTGTACAATGGGTGTTGTAATACCTGCTCCCATCTCCCCTGGGTCTCGCTCTTGCAAAAACTCAGGGGGATTCTCCCAGTGACAAAGGACACGATTGATTTTCCTGCACGTCACAGCTAACGGAAATCTTAGTTACTGTTGCTGCTTGAGGAAGCAACCTTTTGATATGCACTTTACGCCCAAATATCATTAAGCTCTACAGTAAGTTAACTGGACACGGTTGTAAGCGACACCACTGCACTGACCTTTAGTCGGGATGATCTCCTCGCACCCTCTCGGAACGTCTAAAACACACCCACACGTGCACACATGTCGTGTGAGACACTCACCTCGCACACGACAGTTCCCCCGCCCCCCCCATCACCAAATTGTCCAGACCAGTGGTGGATAACCTGCGGCTCACGGGCCGCATGCGTCCCGTGGAGCCCCTCATGGTGGCCTAGTCTCGGTGTGTCCAGGGTGATGCGTGGGGGTCACGATGAGTGCACAAGCACCGCGTCAAGCTTGCGGCCCACTGAGGTGGAGGAGGGCTGCTCGTGTGGCCCACTGACTATATATAGTCTGGGTTGCCTATCACTGGTCCAGGCAATGGTCGCCGTCACCGTGATCTTCATCCATGTCGAGGTAAAGACTGCTTCGTTTTATCCACACTGTGCTACTCTACAACCACGCTGCAGATCACAACGCTTCTTTTTCCACTTCCCTCGCACCGTTTGACTCTGGATTCCCTCTCCTTTCGTCTCCCCCCCCACCCCTCCCTCCCCAGTTCTTACATTTTAACAATTTATGAAACTCGCTATACAATTACAACTGTGATAGCGCCATTTTGCTACTGGCTGCTAGACGTTTTGTGCCCAGCAACTGTGTAATGAAAATGAGACTACAAACACAACCACAAGGCTAACAACACACATCTTGTTTACTACACGTTGGCTTAAAGGGATATTTCAATATAATTAACATAAACTGGAATTTGCATCTTACACAAGTGATTCAGCGCACGCATGGTGCACGGTGCTAGGATCCATATTAATAATTATAATTGGTTCACTACCACATCTCCTAAACGTGGTCGGATTTTAACGCGAGCCCACCTCGACACAGCATAAAAAAACCCATCGCCTTCGAGACACAGCCAGGAATGACTCGCAACACCACCGACCGCGTCGACACAAGCGGAGGGTCTGTTGCGCCGCACTGCGGCCTCTCGGGGAGGCCAGCGCGCCTCACCTTCTTGTTCTCGATGCTCTTCTTGCGCTTCTTCTCCTTGGCCGAAGACGACTTGGCGGCCGGGTGGTGCAGGCGGTTGGCGGTGAGCGTGAGGCTGGTGGGAGTCTGCTGCACAGCGGTGTAGGACACGGCGAGGCAGGCGAGGCCCTCGTCCCCGCTCTCCGTCGCGCTCGTGTCGCCGTCTGCGACGCCGTCACCACAACGCACGCACGGTCGGCACGTACCCAAGAACATTCGTGGCAAGGTGCGTGCACATTGCATCATCATTTATTATTGACATCGTGCCTCACGCAAATATAAATGACCCTCCTGAAAGTGTTAAGACTCTTTAATAACCAAACTGAATAATGAAAAAACAATTCTCAAAGCACATACTTGCCAACCCAAACTGAATTAAGCGGTAGGCTGCCGATGTTTATATCTGTTTACAGCACGCGGATTTTAAACAGCTAATCATAGCCGGTGTATAAAATTATTGAATAAGGAAACTTGGATTCGATCTTTGATGAGAGGTACAAAGGGGTTTACATATTGGCAGCCTACAGCTTAAATGGGTAGGGTTGGTAGGTAATGGTATTGCATTAGCAGGGCAGATTTTTTTATGGGTTACAGAAGAGCAGAGGCAAACTTTTACCGCCAAGCGCGAGGGACGTTCGAGACAGGAGGAATGTCTGCATTGCTGCACGAGTGAGAGTTGGACTTTGCCAAAAGCTACTGGAAAAAATCTGCTGACCTTTGAAAATATCTGCTTGTCAAGAGGATGCTCGGAATTTCATGGAAGGATTGGGCTACGCAACTTGGAACTTCGTAACAGAACATGGGAGGGAAGCATTGCATTTGTAATCTGGAAGAGGAGTTTGAGATGGGCGAGAACGTGGGCAGGACGGAGGAGTGCAGGTCACAGAGACGGTCATTTGAGCGGCACCCAGAGGTCGGCAATGAGACCGTAAGACGGACCTTGGAGGTAGTGTCACATTTACAACTGTGCAGTCGTCAAAGTGTGCTCGCATCAATGGCACTGCTTGCAATGACCTCTTGACCACAAATAAATAAATACACCTCCGTTCTATCTCTACGGTACATTTTGTTATTCCGCAAGCGTATTGTCCCTGATGAGTCCAAATGAATCTAGCGTTTTCTCTTATAAACGATATTGCTCGTTAACCTAAGTCTGAAGGGACAATAAGCTGATGAAACTATTTTATTTAAGTTAAGATACGAAACAAGATTGTTTGATTAACTGGCAAATAATGCATTTCTGACCATAAATGCACGGCTACTCCCGTTCGCTACGTGGGTGCACACTCATAATGTAGACAGCTTGTTGAAATGTAAGGTTTGCATCAATAGCTAGGCATTAAATCTGCTGTGCGTGACAGGTGAACATGACCATGTGCCCAGTTGTACCTGTGTGAGAAATCTGCCAAGGGCACGACTTGACAGGGACCGACAGGCACGGTTCATTGGAGACGGCTGCACCTGGAAACCCGTACAGTTGATAAACCCCCAATAGATGTAATAAGTTAATTGATGATAATTTACAGCCCCGTGTCAAGCCACTAGAAAGTCTGAACACTTGTTATCGCGCACTCTTATGAGTCCAGCTCATCGCAAATGCGCACCGAAAACACACAGTAAGCTTATTTGGAATAAGAACATTGTTTTAAGTCTGTTGCTAAATTGTCTCGGACTCAAAGAAAGCTACCGAACATATGTCGGTAACTGGTTCCATGTCTTCGGGCCGGAGACCCCGGTGAAACTACACTGGCCGTATCGCTGCACAAGGCTTGCGCGCGGGTACAGCAGCAGCAGATCACCATGATCGTAGACGGCGTCGATTGGGGTCCTATAAGGCTGGCACGACTCACTGCTCAGCGAAACAGGACGGACCGGATTGGTGCAGACTCTTGCAGGTGAGTAGGCAGAGTTTGTAAACAATCCTGTGTGTGATAGGTAGCCAATGTAACTCGTCTCAAGGTCGTCATAGGATCAAATTTCCACTTCCAAACAATCAGACGAGCCGCAGGATTTTAGCAGGATTTTAACAGACGGCGCTGGCACGGCCAAAGCTGCTGTTGCAATAGCCCACGTGACGGACGACAAATGCGTGGACAGGCATCGTAACAGTCGTGACGGTGAGAGTGCTACGACGGTCGGTGTGCAGTTGTCGATGTTGATAGAAGCACCGTACGGTCAGCGCTGAAACGTCAGCTCAATGTTGTAAGGACGCCGAGACTTGACTTCACTCGACACTGGGATGTCACAGCCACAGGCGAATGGACTTAGTTGATCCAAACAAGCTGATGGCGGGTCCCGAGCATGATGAAGTCAGTCTTGTCAGAGTTCAGCTTAAAACAGTTTGATGTCATCCAGCTGCTCATTGAATTTGCGAGACACACAACTCAGCTTTGCTGCTTGATGGCACGCTGCGCGCGTCAGTCGTAGGAATTATTTTACCATACTTCACCACGCTGGTAATAGCATATTGGTGAAGTGGGGGAGACTGAGAACCAGTCCGGGTGTCACTCGCCACAGGTGGTAGCCATGGCCAGGATTTATTCTCATGTCGCTAAGCTCTTGGCGAAGTGCGCTCGCCACTCTGCCAACCTTAATAGCCGTAGAGTACACAATTTAAGCACCTGATGATTGGGTGGTGGAGACACACGCATTATTTCCTTTGATGAGATCGAGCAACTATTCGTGAAGAATTGGTTTCCCGGTGTCCGTGAACAAGCAACTGGCTGAAAAGGAAATTGATAGGGGCACATGTGTAACGCAATGTGGCATCTCATTGGCTGAGGCGTTCCACCGAAAACTGTATTTAAAGAGGGGGTGGCAGGCATGGAATTCTGGGAAGCATCGGTGTCCACACTACAGAATTCCTGCAAAAGCCTGAGATATGGCCTTAGTGGCAGAGTTGCAGTGAAGAGCCCAAAAGCAGTGAGTTTGTGTTTTTCTACTATCATTACATGTCTGTTTTGAGAACCTATGGGAAGAATCCATTGGGTCTTAAGCAGTGAATAAGAGAGGTACACCACACTGGGAATAATATCACTGCAATGCAATACAATGAATAATTGTAGATAACACATGGTACTTAACAATATAAACAACATATGAGATGGGATTCCAAGTGTGGTCTTCTGGGTGAGACCAGGTGTTGAGCATATTTTCTCTCAACCTGTGGCCAAGGTCCAGAGCTTAAGTTGAAACTGCTTGCAGTAGTTCATGGCAAATGTTTAGCAGGAGAAATGCTCAACACGAGGCCCAACCCAGGGGACCACGCTCGGATTAATGGTGACTGGGATGACCAACGTGATAACTTGTCTGAGATTCATCAAACGCTTTACACAGGCCCCCAGGGTACACGAGAAGGCCGAACCGCCATTCCCGTGTACTCAGACTGCCCCGCACTAATGGGTCGTGTGGGGTTTCCGTGTTACAATCGCTACGGCCATCGGTATTAACGGAGAAGTAAAAGTGAGGCGAATTCAGGTGGCTGAGCCTGGGTTTCCACTTCTGAGGCAGTAACTTTCCCAAGGTGACCTGCGTCTGCCACGTGGGCTATAAAGCAATAAGTTTGTGTGTACGGTTGCTCTGTTTACTGCTGCATACTTGCCACTCCCTTAAGCGGTAGTCTGGCGATTTTCCAACCCATTTACAGCATACCAATTTTCAAAGTTAATCGTGACGCTTAAACATTTATTTTTAATGTAATTTATGCTTTGAAATTCAGCATGCGGTAAAAAGCGTTCAGAAACCAGCAGCCTACTACCAATTAACTCTGTGGGGTTGGCAAGTGTGCCAGCACGTGTCCGTAATGATTTTCCGTAATTTGTGCGTATTTTTATTTCTGTCTCCGTCTTAACTGGCAATTGTAGACTCCCGTCTGGTTTTCCAAATCTGTTGAGCGTGAAAGCACAGGAGAGTCTGTGGCAGTGTTGAGAAGGGGACTCCCTAGCCCCCACCACTGCCATGCAAAGGTTGAGGAGGATACACGTGTGATGACACTCACCAGAGATGTTACCGCGGCGCCGGCTCTGCAGCTGGAAGGCCCTCTCCTGGTCCACGCTCCTGCAGGGAACACGCAACAACATCAGTTTCCACAGACTCCCCCCTCATTACCATCAACCATGCTCTATCCCCTGCTGGATGAACACCTCCCCACTTTGTTGCCATCACTCATGATCTCATGGATGCTACAATCAACCCAGCGGGTGTTTGCGAGCCAACCCTTTTCTCCATCTCAGCGGTGTTTGTCCTCTCTCTGCCATTCCTTCATCGACCATCATTCCTTCTTGAGGTGATCAGCCCAAGCCCGCTTTTCTTAACCGTCAATGTTTCTCGTTCTATGATCCGATTATCACGGTTGGCTACGTACGGTGCAAAAGAAGTTCAACATACATACGTTCCCCTTTTCTGTTTCTCCGTGCGATTCCAAGCATGCACCTGTCCGTGCTTATTTGCGTACTTTTCAATTTGTTCCATTTTCTTTGTCAGTCTCCATGTTTCAAATCCATTTATCAGAGCCAGGCATTGTGCACCGATTGGAAAAACTATCTTCTAAGGCACATTGGTATGTCACGTTTCAATTTCAAATTTAATTTCCTAAAAGCACTCCAAGCTGCTCTCACTCGCCTCTTCATCATTTTGATCCCAGTCCACCCTCAATAGCGGTCTTAGATCTCTACATTCTCTGGTGTTTCCCTGTTGAGTCCGCCTTTCACAATCATGGCTTTTGTATAGAATGTGACATGGCGTCTGCTCATATTTATTTACCCCATATTGGTAACATTCCTTATTCAAGGTTTTAATAATTTCTTGTAGTTAATTTCCAATCGATGTTCACAATGGCTATTTTGCCAGCTAAACGGATATGGTTATACTTTCCCCGTTTTAGCAGACGCCTTTCAGAGAACATTGCTGTGAATCACAAGTGATAGAACATCTCCTTTCCCAATTCGTCGATTATATTGTTACTATTTTAAAGCAATCTCAGTGTAGCGGTTCCATTTTAATTAATCAGATATGTTTAAATATAATTTTTTTTTATCAAAGCCTCGGTTTGTGAGGGTTTGGATGACACCCCTAGTCTTCTAGAACCACACCCGCTACACCACCATTCATGAAACTGCAAAATTTATCTCAAACAAAAGCAGTGCATTCCAGTTTGTCTGTTAGTGGTATGCACCTGCCAGCGCCGCAACAAAAGAGGAAATGCAGACGAAGGCTCCCAATTTATTTCGGGGCCGGCATTACGTGTTGTTGCATAAACTCTACCGACAAATAGTGAACAGCAGCCGTTGGCTGGAAACGCGCATTTCCTGGAGTTGGGTTTCCTCGGTGGCTCGAGGCCAAAGCCAAATGCGAGGCCCGGTCCAGGGCGCTTCCCTCAGCCTCTCCCACTCCTGAGCACAACCACAGTAGTCGCGGTCTCTGGCACCGCCACTCACACTTTCCTGGCCAACGCTCAGAACACACGCGCGGCACCCACCACGAGCAGGAACGCCTGCCAGTGTGACAGGGGTTCGCCTCAAGGAATGAGCTCATTGCAAAGCAACCCCTGTGATGCTGCCGATATGTATGCCAGTCTCTCCGTCTGTCGTGCGTTTGCTGCGGGTTTTGTTTTATTCCATTTGACAAAGTCACGGTCCAACCGCTCGCACCCCGTTCGGCCACCACGGTGGAGGGGTGGCTCACCTGGGCTCGCAGAACTCGCACAGGTAGGTGTCGGGTATCCTCTGCCGATCGATCCCCATGCAGTCGATGTGCTGCCACACGCTGCAACGAATGGAAGCACAGGGTCACCCCTCTTCAGACGTGCAGCCGGGTGGGCAAAAGGAACAGTTCCCTTCCCCACCCCCATATAATCTGTGTGTGACATTTGTGTATGTATTTGTGTACTTTGTGTGTATGTTTAGTACATGATGAGAGGTTGCATTTGGTCTAAGGTGGGGAGGGGTTTGACAACACTGGGTCCTGGGCTGCTTCGCTATTATTTGCTTACCCAACAATGGCTTTCGACAATGCATACACACATACAGCAGCCCTGACTGTCAGACTACATACACACATACAGCAGCCCTGACTGTCAGACTACCGATTCTAGAACATTCGCACTTGGCTTCTTGCACAATTGCTCTTAGGTTGTCAGACCCGCAGAAAACATACCATACATGCATTTTCGTCAGATGAGAGGCTTCCCCACAGAGTGTAAGCTGCTAGGGTTATGTCACCGTACTTCATCACGCTGGTCAGTGCGGATTGAAGGTGGAATTGGATTTTGCTGCACTGTCCTCGAATGTCCCCAATTCTAACTGCACCTGCCTTCAACCCATCCAAACCGTATACAGGCTCAACTCTGCAGCTCGTAAGGTCTGCATTCTGGGTAATTTGGTCATTGGCAAGTATGGCGTTTATGTAGAAGTGCATTTTTAACTTGATGTGTGTACTTGTGTACTGTCTATATATGTTCTTGCACACGAGTTTGTTGCTGTGTCTTGTACAGCACTTGAGATCCGCGATGAAAGGCGCTTTATGAACTCTTGGAAGGAAAGCATTTTCCCCTTCTCCAAAATGTTGTAACTGGGTGCGTCACTGCCCTTCCACATCTATTACCACCACAGACAACGCCCCGACCACACACTCGTGACTCGCGTTTGCCTAAAACAACGACTTCATTCTAACGGATCTCTAAAAATTTGTGGCTAAATTCAGCTCGCGAGACGACGTGAGAATAATTGGTGGCAGTGTTTTTGTTTTATTCCACTCAACGATGGAGAGCCGCACGTCGACACCCCGCCCCGAAAAGTCACACCTGCACTTGTCGCAGCAGATCATGTATCCGTCATCGTGCGTGAAACCGCACACGCAGCGCGTCACGTCAACGCCGTAGCTGCCGTCCTCCGACACGCTGATGGTAGTGGCATTGGAGGTGTCATCCAGGGCGGCCGTAAAGCCGTTGACTTCTCCCCGGTGAGTGCCGGCGCTAGGTGGCGGGGAGGCCGGCGGCGTTGGTGGAGGCGGAGCGCCATAGTTGTGGTCCTGGCAGGACGGCGAGGGCAAGTGGCGCGACAGATTAAAACTCCGTCAAAGAGGGAGAGCCGGCTACAAAGAGATGTTTGGAAAATTTGATTGACAACTAATCTGATGTACTGCCATCTCCTGGCCAACATGCACATTAGCAGGTTGAGGTTTTGCAAAGCTGCACTATCCACAAACGCTCTCCTCCGCAAAGTGCTAGATTACAGCCTCACGTCATGGTCGGCCATTCAACCACCATGGCAACGCCAGAAGGCAGGCTGTCTTAAGATGACACCACCACACCCCTGAGACTGCCGCGATAGCCACACAAAAGCATTGTCCTTGTAGGCAGTGCTTAGGCCTGTACAGTAAATGTTTAGAGTTACTCTGCCCAATATTATGGTTCTAGAAGCTTCCTTGATCTAGAGCAAGAGATATTTACGTTTAACGTTAAGGCATCTATGTACGGGCGCTTTCACAACCCCCGCCACAAGTTTCACTCAAACACGTGGACGCTGTGCCTCTTTCAGCCGACACGCTCTACATTACTTCCAAATAATTTTATGAACCAAAACTAAAATCTCCGTTTGGAGGGAGCTTAAAGTTAAAAAGATGTGACAGCAACTGAAACCCTCCAGCAGATGTGCGAAACAAAGCAGTGGCAGCGACTAACAAGCAGCAGCAGCCTTTTCTTGGCTGCTGACAGAACAAGAGGCTACTTTCTCCAGCTCCACACATTTTACAGTGATCACTTATCCGGACAGCGGTTATAACTTATGTTAAGAGGTTCTTACCTTTACGCAACCTTAAAAAACGCAAACACTGGCTTGGCAAGCCCCTACCTTGGCACAGCACATTAAGCGAGACCCATTCCAGCACACTGGCTCCCTTTAAAGAGGAAAAGCGCGAGCAGCAGGAAAATGGCGCTGTACAAAGTAGAGCAGTTGGCGTGTGCCATTGTGCGCCCGGGGGTGGGGGGAGGAGCCCTAACATTCGGTTCCAAGCCAACACGTGCACACCCACGCGCGTGGACTGTGCTATTCACCCGCACCCCCAAACTCAGCCCCACGGCCATGGCTTAACAACTTCCTGGTCTTATTCAGGGTGTGTGTTGTGTACGAGCGTGATGGTCAGGCTCGCTCTTCAAGGACAGCGGTGAGAGGCATTAGAAGACAACAGCGCAAGTTCAACCCAAGGCTCCCATTACTCCTCGCGAGGACCCACGCGGAAGGAGGCTCGTGGCACAAACGCGAGCCGATATCACAGAATGCAGACGCTCGGGAACATTGGTCTCACTCAAAACATGCAGCAGCAGTGGTCTGTGCAGCCCACACTCCAGGTGTTTTAGTAAATCACTTGGACTAACATTACACAAAATACTCACTGTTAAAATTCAGCTTAAATTTTTTTTTAAAGTATTTTCATAAATCCTAATTTTACAATTCTGACTACAAAACAGGGTCTCCTTGACAGATTTGTGGCAATAAAATCACGTTGAGAAAACAAGACAGATATTTTCATTAAAACTAGTTGACAGCTGATTTTTCACGAGATATCTGGGTCACAAAACCATTTGTTATGGGCGGAATTTAGTTTTTCTGAAAGTAAAACATTTCGACATTCTAGATGTTACAACTGAAAGCAGCTCGCAGTATTCAGACGTTACACAACGACGCTTTCAAGCTATGTGTGAGGCATGTAGAGCAATGCTTTTAGCCTGCCATGTTATTTTCTCCACGTGTTTTGTGATGAGAGATGCGACTCACGGCGTAGGGCAGGCCCAGGTACGTGTGGTGGGACGTGGTGGTGGTGGTGGTGTGCGACTGATGCGGGTAGCTGCTGCTCTTCTCCACCACGGGGCTTGCTTCTACCGACTCCGGCCTACAGCACGGCACACAGGTCAGCTCACCGGGGCCCGTCGAGCGGCGACACGCGTGCGTCTCGCTCGCTGGCGCTTGCTAGCGCTCGCCGACATCTAGAGATCAAGCAGGCCTTGTGAAAGCACCGCCCCACTTTCAAAATCACACAGCAGCTGCCCCCTCAAACACCCCCGTTGCTATGGATGTACTCGCGTATTTTCCTTTATTCCGGAAATTTCCAAGCTTAGGGCATTAATCAGCCAAGCGGCCTGTCGCATGGCATTACTGTAAGGGGGTTGATCCATTATGATTAAGGCGCGCCCAGCCTTCCTGCCAACCTGTTTGTTGACTTCCTCAACAAAGCCACAAGCTTCGCTTGAGAGCCCAGTCACTTCTCTCGCGCAGCTTCTGCGAGCAGGGGGATTAGCGCACGACGCTTCCTCACCCATACGTACGCAACAAACGCAAAGCGCACGCACGCACAGGGTGACGCGATACTCACTCTGATCCAGCCGCCATGGTAGTGCTTGCGGAGGCATCTGCGGTAAGCCCTCCTGCAATTACTATGCTCATGACGTGTGCCAGTGCAAGAGTCTCCGATCAGTGGGCTGGATGCATTTGTGTCTGCAACACTGAGGCAAGCCAGCCACAGTTCTCATTGCAGACGCCTACATGCACCAACCTGTTAAAACAGCCGCACACATGCACGTAGGGCAAGGGTTAACACAGCTCCGGTGGCTTCACGCAGCCGGCCTGCACGAAGGAATGTTGCCTTGAGTTTTAACAATAACATGACGCCGTTCCCCCTTTATTCTCCACACCACAATGGTGGGGAGGGAGGTTTTTGCTCGTTGGTGGCACTCGCCCAGACTCTTCCATCCGAACGCCACGAATGCCTTTTACTCTCGTTTACCGCAGTGACGTCAACGCTCCCCACTCGTTCTGGTCAATTTAATGGCGAAGAGATTTCCAGGGCACTCTATCTCCTAAAATCTCACCCATGTATCGGCATCTCGGCCAACGCTGAAGAGAGCCGCTCTCGCACCGTGAAGAATGCACGCAGCTCCCCCTTTCCCCCCACATATCCAGATAGAGAAAATGCCTCCACTCTGGTCTCCCTGCGGCACAAAGAGACGCCTTGTGTGGGGCCAGCATCAGGAACACGGCACTCGGTGAGCACTAATCACGGAGCACGAATAAAACTGTAGGGGACACACACTCGGTAACGCACCGTGGCACACGGCTAACAACCAAACAAGCCGCCACCCCACGCAATCAACAGCAACAACACCCCAGCAGCACCACCCACAACCAGCAGCACTTCCAGCACCAACAAACCCAACACCGCCATTAACAAAGAAACCACCGTGACCAGAACCACCAGCGCCAACGCAACTACCGCTACCACCAGCAACACCATTAAAAACCCCCACAACCAGCAGCAGCAACAATCGTATCGCTGTCACTTTCACCACCAAAACAACCGGCAACCCACTATCATCGCCAACTCGACCACCGCTCCGTATAAATCACCAGCAGCGTTACCATCAACCCACCCAGAGCGCCAATAATACTACATTGCCAACAGTGCCAACTACGAGCAACCCACCAGCAGCACCACGAGTTAACACCACCACCACCACCACATTCACCACCAATACCATAAACATCATCGCCGCCGCCACCACCAGCAAACAATACTACAACCAGCATCACCACCACCAATACCATACACAGCATCGCCACCACCACCAGCAACACTACAACCAGCATCATCATCAGCACGATAACTATTAGCAGCAATAGCAGTACTACCAGCAACCCACCACGACTACATTCACAATCAACATCACAAGCAGCCGTATCACCAGCAGGACAAACACGACAATCACCACCAATACCACGGTCACCACCATTACCGCAGCACCAGCGGGAGCAGCAACAACAACAAGACCCAAGGCGGCCACACGCGTTACTCGCGCACACAGAGATAGGCGGCCATTAATCAGGCTAACAGAAGAGAAGCATCAACACAGCTCCCACCAGCTGCAGCAAGACCAACGCGACCCCACGCATTAGCAGGGCACCCAGCAACACGGCCATTAATCAGCCTTTCGGAGCAGAGCTTCTTCCCTTCCCAGCTACGACGAAGGCGACCAGGAACCCCCCGGGGGCAGAGCCCGGGTAGAACCATGGTACAACCGGCCCCCACAGCCTGGCCCCGGGAGGGCAGCAGCAGCAGCAAGAGGGTGAAGCACAAGACGAGGAGGGGGGGTACTGTATCTGCAAGCTTTTCCTTCAGGATCTCTGCCTGTGCAAGGGAGCTGCAGGCAAACCGTGTGAATCAGAGCGCAGGCAGCTGTGCGGCAAGGCGCACATCGAGTGTATTAATAGCCAGCGCTGGTGATTACAAGCGGCTGTCGTAGCAGAAACAGCGGCAGCAGCAACGGTATCGAGAGCGACCAAACGTCGGGATGTGAACGGTGTTGACACGAATCCCGCCCCAAACCATGGAGCCCCAGCGCCCCCCCACACTAAATACAACCAAATGAACCAACACCACAATCACCAGTACCGCAGGTGCCAACAGAACCACCACGAGTAGCAAGGGAACCATCACAACGGCCAGCACCTCTTTCACCACGACCACCAACCTCCAGGAACCACCTCGACAACTCCCAACAGAATAATCACCAGTATCAACACAAGCATTAGTCCCAACAGCACCACCACCACGGGTACTAACGTGACAATCGCCACTACCACAAACAAAACCATCACAGGCACCACCACCACGACCTGCAGCAGCAGCAACATCACCAGACCGCGATACATGGCGGCCACGGGCTTCAGGGAAGACGGGGAAGGAAGGGAAGCCATGGGGGGGGTCGGGGTTGTCAAACCAACATGGAGGGGCAAGAGGGGTATTACAGCAGTGCATTACAGGACCTGGCATGGAATTAGCGGGATAATGCGAGGGCTGACCAGCACAGGGCTTTTGTGGAGGGGGGAGCTGTCAGGCCAGGTACAGGTGATAGCAAGGCACGGGGGGGGGGGGGGGGGGAGGACAATGTAGGCAGGGCATTGGGCACGACGGGACACTGTTGTTTGTGTGGAGCAGCACAAGGCAAGGCACACCGAGAGCCTTGGGGAGGGCGGCATCGTGGAGAGAGCAAGTCAGGCGGATGGGGATGACAGGAGGACGCTTATGGCGGGGCACTGGGTGAGAACAAGGCAGAGGCATTCATGACATCTGGAGAGACGGTACGAGGACATGATCGTGGTTGACTACGTACGGTGTGAAAGAAGTTAAAAAGACGTCCACAATGGGGGGGGGGGGGGCATTGGAGACCGACTCTAACCGCCCCCCCCCCCCCGAGTCGCCGTCGTCTGCAACGCAACTTGCCCTCGATTCTCTTGCCACTGAGATCGCGCTCATGATGCCACCGCTATCCCGCACCGCCGTGTTATCGCAGCAAGTCGCATTGCGAGTTGTATTGTTGTTGTTGTTGTTATTGTTGTTGTTATTGTTGTTGTTGTGGTGATCTATCGCCACTGTCGCAGTGACGTCTCTCGCGAGTTGGCGCCACTGCCCCAGTCACTGTCGCTTGGGGCTTTCGCTTTTCCTCACCACCTACCACCACCAACCCACACTCGCTTTCTCTCGCCGCTTAAATATTTACATTGGCCATTAGTAGCAACAGCTGCGATAGGCGACACATTTGTAATGACAATTAGCTTAACAACAGCGAGTGAGTGGTTATATTGCGTAGCGCTGCTACTGCTGTTGCTGCAGCGAGCGATGTTGACGTCTGGCAACAGCCCCGAGTGTGTGGCACTCCGCTCACCTAGAGGACGAGGATGAGGCGGACGACGAGGAGAGGTTGACGACGCGTTGACGAAGACGAACAGCAGCAATTGAAGCGGTGTGGCAGCAGAGGAAGAAACGGCGGCGGAGCTTCCCGACCCCTCACGGTCTCTGCACTCTCTTCTTCTCCCTCTCGTGCAAGTGCCCGCTCGCTTTGCAATGAGGAGCAACTGACGAGGTTGGTGACGAGCAGGAGCAGGTGGAGGAGAAGTGGAGACGAGGTGGTGGGGAGATGATGAGGAGGAGGAGGAGCTGAGGCGGAGCTGAGGGTGAGATCAGTGCAGGAGTTGTCAGTGGAAGCGGGGCCCGGGCTGGGCTCGCGAAAATGGCGCCCGGCTACGGGGGCTCCCCGAGGCCCGAGCAGGGGCCGCGGCGCGCATGCGCAGAGCGGACACCCGGGACGGGGAGAGGGGGGAGAGAGGGGGGAGAGAGGAGGGAATCGAGCGAGAGGAAGAGTCGTGGGGAGAGGGGGGGGAGAGTAAAGGAGATGGTAGAGTGGGGGGTGGGGAGAGGGGGTGGAGAGAAGGGGGTGGGGGGAGAGGGGGGTGGGGAGAGAGAGGGGGGGAGAGAGGGGTGATGGTGAACATGGTAGAGAGTGGGGAGAGTGAAGATGATAGAGAGCGGGGGGAGAGAAGGAGATGGTAGAGAGAGGGGGGTAGAGAGGAGAGTAGGTAGAGAGAGGGGGGGGGGGTAAAGGGGTGGTAGAGAGAGGGGGGGGGGGGTGGTAGAGAGAGGGGGGGGGGGTGGTAGAGAGAGGGGGGGGGGGTGGTAGAGAGAGGGGGGGGGGGTTGTAGAGAGAGGGGGGGGGGTGGTAGAGAGAGGGGGGGGGGTGGTAGAGAGAGGGGGGGGGTGGTAGAGAGAGGGGGGGGGGTGGTAGAGAGAGGGGGGTGGTGGTAGAGAGGGGGGGGTGGTAGAGAGAGGGGGGGTAGAGAGAGGGGGGGTAGAGAGAGGGGGGGGTAGAGAGAGGGGGGTGGTAGAGAGAGGGGGGGGGTAGAGAGAGGGGGGGGGTTAGAGAGAGGGGGGGGGTAGAGAGAGGGGGGGGGGTAGAGAGAGGGGGGGGGGTAGAGAGGGGGGTAGAGAGGGGGGGGGGTAGAGAGAGGGGGGGGGGTAGAGAGAGGGGGGGGGGTAGAGAGAGGGGGGGGGTAGAGAGAGGGGGGGGGAAAGAGAGGGGGGGGGGTAGAGAGAGGGGGGGTAGAGAGAGGGGAGGGGGGTAGAGGGGGGGTAGAGAGAGTGGGGGGACATGGGGAGAGAGTAGAGGGGGGGGGTGAATGAGAAGAGATTGGGAGAGTAATGGGGAGAGAGTAGAGAGATAGTCGTGTAATGGGTAGCGAGATATGGGGAGAGTAAGGCAGAGACCAGAGACAGGAGTAGATTGGAATGTTGAGCAAGAGTCGGCACTTCCAGGAACACGGAAACAGGGTGATGAGATACGTGAGGGAGAGCAAAAGGGATGACACAGAGAGAGAGATTAAGACGAGAGGGACGCAGAAGAGGCACGGTGAGAGCAAGCGAGACGGCGAGGCGCGAGAGAGAAGGCGACAGAGACGGTGTTGGCGTGAGAGTCGGGGCGGCAGCGGGGAGGGACTCTGGGAGAGGAGGAGAGAGATGACGGCGAGGCCGCGACAGGAGACAGGGACGGCGGCGGGAGACGTGGGGAGGAGAGGCGCCGACATCGTCGAAGAGGCGGCGCGGATGGCGACCGCGGCGAGCGATGTAGATGGAGGGGGAGCGAGAGCGATGGGGGGGGGGAGAGCGCCGCGGTGCTGCCATTGTCGGCGTTGTCGGCGTGAGGCTAAAGACGCCGCCCCTGTGCCCATGACTTTGGTACAACATTTTTACGTATTGTCGTTTAATTTGATTTGTCTTCGCTCGTAAAAACGAATGAGTCGTCGTCGTCGTGGTCGTCGCGGCTCTTGCCGCCCCGTGCGGGCGACGTGAGTGGCGGCCGCGCTGCGAGGATCGCCCTTTAAAGATGGCGGCCCTGCGCTCAAGCGGCGAGGCGAGAGCAGAACCCGTGGCACGGCGCGCACGGCTTTTACACAAAGATCCCCTCCGTAGGGAGCCTTGGCAGGCTTTTTAGAGGCAAGTGCTGCTAGTGAACACCAACGAAGGCCACACACACGGTGTTAAAGACATGCGCGGTGTTGTGCGTAGACCGATGTACGCAGTTGACAACACGCTCCATTCTCGTCGACGAGCACCGTGACGGGACCCACGGCTCGGGTGGCGGCGGTGGCGGTGATGATGGTGATGGTGGTGATGATGGTGGTGGTGGTGATGGTGGTGATGATGATGATGGCGGTGGTGGTGATGGCGGCGATGATGGTGGTCATGGTGATGATGATGGCGGTGATGATGATGGTGGTGATGGTGGTGGTGGTGGCGGTGATGATGGCGGTGGTGATGGTGGTGGTGGTGATGGCGGCGATGATGGCGGTGGTGATGATGATGGTGGTGATGATGATGGTGGCGGTGGTGATGATGATGGTGGTGGTGATGGCGGCGATGATGGTGGTGATGGTGGTGGTGGTGATGGCGGTGGTGATGGTGGTGGTGGTGATGGCGGTGATGATGGCGGCGGTGGTGATGATGATGATGGTGGTGGTGATGATGATGGTGGTGATAATGATGATGGCGGTGGTGATGATGATGGTGGTGATGATGATGGTGGCGGTGGTGATGATGATGGTGGTGGTGATGGCGGCGATGATGGTGGTGATGGTGGTGGTGGTGATGGCGGTGGTGATGGTGGTGGTGGTGATGGCGGTGATGATGGCGGTGGTGATGATGATGATGGTGGTGATGATGATGGTGGTGATAATGATGATGGCGGTGGTGATGATGATGGTGGTGGTGATGGCGGCGATGATGGTGGTGATGGTGGTGGTGGTGATGGCGGTGGTGATGGTGGCGGTGATGATGGTGGTGGTGAGTCCGGAGGTGGGGAGGCCAATCCGGGCGCGAAAGAAGCGGCTGCCGCACGCCCGACAAACGATCTGAGACCGTGAGGGAATCATTTGCCAATCTTGATTTGCGGACCTCTCTTAGCCTCCATCGTTCTCTGCCCGTGTGGCGAGCGCCCTTGTGTGTAGGGGACTGCGGCATGTGGAGCAGTCCCATTGCAAGGCTCTCCCGTGTCTCGGGACTTGAGGGAGGATTTAAAGGGTGACATTGGTAGCGTTCGCCTTCACCAACATGAAAGTGCTTTCCAGAACCGTCCCTTGGGTACGGGGAATCGTGGCGACCGCCCCGGGCCCCGCGATTTGAGGGGGTCCCCGCGCTTCGATGTCACGGTGTCAGATGTAATGCGTCCGGTTGAGTTGGAAGGCGTCGGGTGACTCCGTACCTCCCTATGGGCGGCCCTGGCGCGTTCCATCCCTCACCTCAGTAAGAACGCTTCTTTGTGAGGTGATTGTCAGGCCTCCTGGCTACATCTGCGCCTTCCCCCATCAGTGCGAGTCTGCCGTGGCGAGGACCTCCGTCTTGATCTCTTCCCTGCCATCTGATCTCGAGGCAGCGCCTCCCCGAGCACGCCGTGGTCATGATGATTCGGCCTCTCGGCACGGCGGGCGTGTCCTGTCCCAAGTGTCGGAGGAGGCATGCAGTAGGGTGGGTCGTAGGACGGCGACAGCTTTGTAGACTGTGAGCTTGGTTCAAAGGCTACTAGTGTCTCTTGGCTGCGGCATTGCTGGCCCCAGGCTGTAAAAGGCTGCTTGCCTCGGCGATCCGGCATTCACCTCGTCATCCGCTGCGTACGGTGCGAAAGAAGTTTATACATTCACGTGCGTGGGTCTGGGGAGGTTGGCTGCCAAATAAGGAAACAGCGTTAGCGATGAGATGCTCTTCCACAGTCAGAATATATATTTATGCTGGAGGAATCCGATGAGCTATGAAGCTCTTTTTCACATGTCTAGTGGATGTCACAGTGATGGTTCCACGCACTGCTTCCCTGGGGCAGGCTGGTGCACGACCTGTCTTCTTGATGGCACCGACGTTATCGAATGCAATGGAGACGTGGTTCATAATTGAACTGCGCTTCTAAGTCGGAACCCACAGACATCTACAAAGGCAGTCTCGAGTCACTACCTCCTGCACTTTGGTCCTGGCTTGGAGTCGGAAAGCGTGACCGGAGAATGTGGTACCGACGACGCGAAGCCCCGACTCCATCGGTGACTGGGAAGGGATCGGAAGACTAAACGTCATGCAGAACCCTGGCACGTATCCCGTCATGGAATTGTCGTGCGATGTTCATGAACGTTTATGGACAGACAAAAACATCCACGATTCTCGACAGGCCCCCACCATACCTGTCAACCCCTAATCAGTCCTTACCTTATTACAGACCAATTCAGACCTTATTGGTCACCCCATGCCCTTATAAAGCTCAACGTCCATCCTACAAAGTCACAAGGGAGAAACGAAAATAGACCAAAAATTGCGTTGACCGTATTGAAACGGCTATACGCCGTTTGGACCTGAAAACTCATTTCCCTGTACAAGAATACGGGGTAAACCGTATGGGTTGACATCTATCTATGCGCCACACTGTGTCGAAGGCCTTGGCTCAGTTTGGAACGACTTGCAGTACACAGTACACACAGTTCTCCTACAGTACTGTACTCCAACAGTACCCGAGCGGGCACCCCAGCGTGAAAGTGCAGCGCCCCCTGGCGGCACCCACGCGGAGTTGCGACCGAGTCGCGAGGTGGCGCTGTGAGCGTGGATCGACCCGCGGGCAAGCAGAGACGCAAACAACGAGCCTTGCCCCGAAACACAATCGCCAGGCACGAGAACTTTCCCTCCCACTGACCCACTAGCCATTACTAATAGTTCCAAACGTAACCAACTCGCTACCCGTATTAGTCTAACGGTACTGGCCCTACCTAGCTAGCCACTCGCAACTGTTTGGTAAACAGGTGTTTGGTATGGTGGACAGGTATGGTATTGTGAACAGGTGTGGTGAGGTAGGTGTGGTTTGGTGAACAGGGACAGCGTGGTGAGATGGTGTGGGTTTGGAAGGTGCCAGCATTGCCCCCCCCCCCCCCGGTGGGCGCAGTTGGGCGTGACGCATTCAGGACCGTGAGACGGGGCTCAGGGAAGCGCATTCGTCGCTTGTTGCGAACGGTTCACGGTTTCATTTCAGCGGCTGACCTGACATACTGGGGGTGTTAGCTGTACATGACAGGGACCGTCTGCTTCACGGTGGAAGTTGAAGTGACGAAAGCAAATTTATAAACGTGCGTTTAGAGTACAGTATTTGGCTGCTGTATTTTTCTATCTGGTAAGTCATTTCATTGGGCCACCTTCTGAAAACTAACTATGTAGCTTAGTGAGCCTTACCTGGTCACATAAAATAAATAGTTTAGTCTCAGGCCGGTGTAGGTCCACGGCCTGGTCAAGATTTCAAATATGA